AGATTGCATTTAATTATATTTCATATGTAGATAACCATTGTGATGCATAGACTATCGTAAAACGAGCGATAAATCTCGATTTGCAATGATGATGTTGATTAAGCTGCTGCTGATGTGATAGCAGTGGGTGCACAAGCACAAGTAACAACACCATTTTTATTATTTTTCTATCTACGTGACTTTACCGAAAGACCAAAAAGAGTAACAACACCAAACTTCAATAAAACTGTGGCCATACATATATATGTCGTAGGCGACGCTTAGGGAAATAAATTAGGCCTATTCCCTAAAACGTCGCCTCTGATATATTTTTTTCCTTTCAAAGTTCACAGTGTTATTTACGAATGTGTTGCGTTCTTTTATTACATTGTAAAGATATTTTAGAAGGGTAAACGTATGGCACAATTGTAATCCTTACGTTGCTTACATGATTTACCACGACAACAAAAATAACGATAGCCACATTTATCGAATCTGGCCCCGAGAAATTACGAATCGGAGGTTTTATTCTACGTTGGTGCGATGTCAGCGTCGAGTCCTGCATTGTTATACACACTGAAACATCCGTGATCACGCCCAAGTGAGTTTCCTTCCGTCGTGTGTCACGCAAAGGGCGAGCGTGACCACAGCGCGCTTCGTGTTACCCGTGATCTGCGTACACGATGCTACTGCAATGAGCTTCATTAAACTGTAGTATAAACCCAGCGTGATGAAGTATGGTCAAACAAACCCCACCGCGTTGGGATGCTTTGTTTTTTGTCCGCAGCAGTTGATTAATAATCGACTGCAAGTAACTACAACATCAACGATAATAACAATGCCAATAATTATTACATCCAGCAGTCAATTTGTATTAACTGACTACTGGATGCGGGCCTTCCCACGCCGTGTCGTGGATGAGGGATATTCGACCATACTTCACCACGCTGGTCAGTGCGGGTTTAGCGAAAGCAGGCGGAGCGTAACACGTGGCTGTGCGTTGTCGCCTTAACGGGGGAAACACAAACACTCGAGGATTTGATAAGACCCAAATCTAGAATCCACGAGGCAAGGATCCAAACACCCACAGCCTCATCAGTCCTCCTTCACTCGGCAACGGCAGCGAATTCGCTTGTGTCGTCCTTGTAAAAGATTGCGGACACGCGGAACACACGACAGTATTTATGATTATTATTCCAGTAAGAAAACGATGATTGCTGCTGTGTTCGCCTATTAAAGCTCCGTGTTTTGTATGCGCGAGGTATACTGTATATATGTATTTATAATTGCCTCGAACTAAGACATAATTCTTGCAGAGATGATTCTTCCGTCTATAAACAGCGCGGCCATGCAGTTCACCGTGAGCATTTGATTCAAGCAAGCTTGACGCCGCCGATGAGACACTGAAGGTCGAAACCCGTCTATAGAGTGCGCTAGTATAGAGCCAGTGCTGCTGATAGGATGAACTCCCTGAAGGCCGTGTGCGGCCAATGCGTAGTTTTAAAAATATAATTTAAAAATATTAGTTTTATGTAAAGAGATAACATTTGGGCAGGAGGCGTTGTGTGTGTTCTCCCGGGTGAAGCATTGTAAGTGATTGAAGCAAGGCCGTAGCAATGGTGTCAACATTGGGGGGGACCAAATCTTCCAGGGGGTCTGGGGGTCCTCCCCCTCCAGAAAAAAATCTAAATTTGAAAACGAATATCCTGCCTAAAATATAAAAAAAATCACTAACTCATAGGATTGACTTTTTATTTATTAGTTATGTCTAATAGTGTATTGTATTACATTGCTCTGTTTTTTCTGTTTTACCTTTGCTTGTTTCATTGTATGTAATGGTAGAGATTAGAGATTAATAAAGTACAACCATAACCACAATCATATAAACACATCTATTTAATAGCAATATATTGGGGGGGACATTTTGAGCATATTTGAATATTGGGGGGGGGGGGGTGTCCCCCAATTGTCAGTATGCTGGTTTAGAGATACCAATCAAATATCTGTCGAACACCTCCGTTTCTGCTCTACCGCACTGCATCGCGCATCCGTCTACACCGGGAGCATCAATCAGTGGCGCTTTGCCAATCACAGTGCGCTTTATCGCCCCTCGCGTAGCGTTACGAACTTTTGTATTTCTATGTTTCCAGCCCTTTGTCCAATCCACTGCTGGATGAAGGCCTTCCCGCGCCGTGTCGGTCGGTCATGCGGGTTGCATGGCCATACATACTTCACCAAGCTGGCCAGTGCCGGTTGGTGAAGGACCGGTTAAGAAGATCTCACTCGCCACTTATGTTAGCCGTGGCCGGGGATAGAACTCAGGGAACCGGGGTCCAAAGCCCAGTGCGCTATGAATGATTGCCCGACTAGGCTCCCAAACACTAAAAGTAGTCTCCCAATTAATAAAATCTAATTTGTAAAACTATATTATTAACATGATGCCTTGAATAAAGGTGTCAGTTTTTGTGCCAGTTAAAAGGGTAAAACCTATTCCTATATCTTGTAAAACTATATTTTAAGTAAATTTTAGTCTACGTATACTGTGTGTGCACGTGTGGGGAGCGGTAGTGTAGCGGTTAGCGCGCTGCGCTACGAACCTGCTTACCCGAGTTCGATTCCCGCTCACGGCCACCACCAGTGACGATTAACTGAACCGGTCATGGGCCTCCTCTAGGTCGACTCAGTCTCAAATGAGTACCTGGTGCGGTGCGTAAAAACATCGCCACTGGGGAGACAAAGGCGGTGCTGGCCACCCACTCCCTCGTTGTGCCGTTCTGGCCTTCATAGGTGCTCGTTAACAGCACTTGCCCCAAAAGTATGTTAAGGCTATACGGGGGGTCTTTGTATTTTTTATACTGCATATCAATGGAGCGGCAGTGTGTCGATTAGCGTGCTGCGCTACCAACCCGTCGACCCGAGATCGATTCCCGCTCAGAGCCAACACCAGTGACAATTATCTGAACCTGTCCCGGGCCTCCCCTAGGTAAACTCAGCCCCAAATGAGTACTGCACATGGTGTGGTGTGTGAAACATCGCCACTGGGGAGACGACAGCGGTCGGGCGTTGTTGCTCGCCACTCAACCCCTCGTGTACCGTTCGAGCCTTCATAGGTGGTGTTTCCTAACAGCACTTGTCCCAAAAAGTCTGTGAAGGCTACACGGGGGATCTGTATCTTTGTACATAAGTCACCCCGTGGCGGAACTTTCTATTGGGTTTAGCGTCACACTCCACAGGAGGTGAATCGCTCGGTTCAATACAGAACTCTGTCGGCTGACCCCTTCCCATCCGAGTGAAACCAGTGGACTTAATAACACAATTTATATACACTGATGTTTACCGTAAACGAAAATATAATTATTACATTTATACTGTATAGCGCTTTTCATCAATGATTTAAAAGCGCTGTACAGGACACAGCAGCAGCAGCAGCAGACAATCGGTATAAACCCAATAGTATAAATACATTTTAAAACAATAATTTACTAAATTAACTAAACATGTAATAAGCGGATCGGATTCCATTGTACTAGAACGAAATTGTATCTTCCTGGTGCTTCTCGAAAATCTTCTAAATGTTACAACACATCGATCACTCGCGATCACCTCCGGTTTGTATCGATGTGTCTGTGTGTGTGCCAGTCACAGATATTGCCTGTTTAACTATCGCTTATAATTAGGTGACGCGTGTTCGCTCAGAATAGTTCGTTAAAATATACAGCACTAAGCCGTTGTATGTATATTCGTCACGTGTGTGTGTACCGTGTCAAACGTGTGGTTTCATTGCTGTTATAGTCATTGTTAAAGTTTGATGAATAAACTCACGTCGTATGTGTTTGCCGAGAGAGAGAACATCGTATGTTTGAACCAACAACACATCTCGTGGATTCAATTATCTTAATGCGTACGCTATTATTCAATATGTACGTGTATGTTGATCTTCTTTCGCACCGTACGTAGCCAACACAGCTAATCGGAGGTGCAGGGGAAGGACAAAAAAAAATACAAAAACCTGATATAATAAACAATGTAAAAAAATACCGAATATAATTGTCACGGATATGATTCTCGTCTATCGAGTTCAAACTTTCATTTTCATTCAACTGTAGTGGATTCTACTACACATGGCATGGAAAACACTACGTAAGTTCATATTCTTAGTTCTTTCGGTAAAGTCACGTTTTATATATATTTTATTATTTTGTTGTTTCCCTTCAACGTGACTTTACCGAAAGAACTAAGAATATGAATTACTGCAGTCACGAAAGCTTTAAATCAAAATTTACTACGTAAGTTATTTAATGACGCTGCTATTTTGGCAGGGGTGCACAAATAACACAAATCACAAGACACTGTCAACACCACTGTGGACTGAGAAATTAAAAAAAAAAAATACTAGACGACGTTTCGGGCAATGGCCCTTCGTCGTCACACGCACAGGCCAGATACACAAATTGGATAACAGCTGGAGACTGAAATTTCACACCATGGGACTTTGAGAATAGAAATACAAATCTGCATATTTTTGGTAATTGTCATATTAAGTTACCTATTTAGTAGTTACCGAGTAACAGATAAACTAGAGCATGTTTGGCGAGTGTCGATACGCAATCCCCAGTATGTGTGCGTGTGTGTCTTCACAATTTTTGTGATGCACGTGCATGCAGTCGTCCCCAATCCACCAATGGATGAGTCTCCCCACGCCACGCCAGTTATGGGGATTTTGCAACCATACTTCACCACGTTGGTCAATGCGGTTTGTTAGGTGGGAGCAGGACCGATTCTGATATCGATGTTAGCCGTGGGTCTAACTCGGTGTGCCGGGTTCATGGGGCAGCGCGTTTACCACAACACCACGTCCTCCCACCACTCTATGCACGTGTGTATCGGCCGGGCGAGGTGCTGGCCACCCCACCCCCTTGTGTGCCTTTCCGGCCTTCATAGGTACTCGGCAATAGTACTTGTCGAGGCTATACGGGTGGTCTTTGTCTTTGTATGTATATAACAAAAACATGCCGCGACACTTTTATTTGTGACTACTTTATTTAGAGGTACAGTACAACAACATACAGCACACACATACACACCTCTTCCCCTTCACACGTGGAACAAAATTACAAAACGTAGCTGAACAGTATTTCAAGGATAATTCAAGACGGAATCGACAGGTAAACCACCCAAGTGGTGTGGTGAGCTCACACTCAGCACCAGGCTTACAAATTAAAATGTTGCGAGAGAAAAACAAAAACCCGCACACGGAACACAAAACATCGAGTAAACCCGTTCTCTGCATGAGATAAACAAGTATTTAAGGCGTTGCATTGTTAAGGACACAGTTTCAGTTAAAAGGCGTACGTATTGTTCGTGTTTAGTATGCGTGTGCAAGGTAAAGGCGCAGTCCAGCAAAGGTCCGCTCGTGCCGCTGCTGGCGGAAGGGCCTCCAATTAATTTCGGAAGCGAGAGTACCCACACTTTACCCACACCTCCCGATGCCCCATTTACTGGACGCTGCTTGACAACCAAAGGGTGGGGGAGAGGGGGTGAGGATAAAAAAAAATCCACATTGTTTCAACTCCCGCGCCCGGAGATGGAATCGGCGACTGCTGGATTGCAACTCCAGTGGGCAGTTAACACAGTCAGGTTGTGCCGACATCGCAGTGATCTCAAACAACTTAACTATTTTACAGACTGTGCTTTTTTTGTTCAGAAGCGGGCATTTTTTCCAGAACCAGCCAGTCTACAGATGCGTGCGAGGTTAACAGCAGCGCGCCCTATTGCACACACAGCAGGTCCAACGGCACTGCTGCTATAGCGTTACGGTTCAAAAACGACAAGTTACAGCCACTTCACCATATCACACACCAGTGTTCGTCATCGCAAGGCCCGCGGGCCACTCGCGGCCCCAACACACGAATGTGACAGCAGCCCATTATCATCGTGCCGCTGCTGTCAAACCACAACGGTTTCAAATGTGACGGCCCTCGCACTGATGTCTTATCGGCGAAAGGGCCCCCACCGCCCCCTGAAAATGAGCGAAAAACACTGGCATACGCAAAACACACACACACACTTCAGTGCAACCGTTTTGACAACACGCTTTATTACTATCACATGTATATTATACCACATCCTCCCGATTATAAGACGCACCCGTTCCCCCTGTATTTTAAAAGGCAAAATTTGAGAGGTGGCCACACATCTTTAGAATACTGTTTGGCGTGTGCCCGTGATCAAGATTTGTTACGCCCTTCATGGCATCGGGGTGGGGAGGGGGGGGGCGTTGCGGGCACGTCTTAATTTCCGGGGATTTTTATAATTCGGAGAATGTGGTATATATAGCTTTAAAAAAAGATGGATGAAAATGATTTCATAAGAGACATTTCCAAATTACTACCTTCCCTTTGGGCGAGCTGTAACTTGCACCATTAGAAATTAATGAGTTTTAACCCGATATAGGATGCAGCCTTGAAACACTTGGGAGTATTCAAGCAAGAATGTTAATATACTGACAAAATATAACTTGTGAAACCATTATCACCATTAGCAGCCATGCCCGATCCACTGCTGGATGAAAGGATCAACATTTCTTGCACATTATGTTACACGTGTGCCTCCGAAGACATCAATCATGCCATGTCGCTTGAATTCAAGGATGCATCATACGTTCGGTTAACATACACGGCTTTGTCATATCGGTTTCACTAAATCCCTTGATCTTCACTCGTGACGAGAAAGCATTACGAGTGTTGATCAAGATTCACTTCGAAACCCTGGACAGAACGGACAGGTGCATTTCTTTGGCAGACCCTAGATTACACACACACACGTGCAGTTTTTTTCCTTCTTTCAAATTCATTTCACTATCGTCCACACACGACGCGAGAGACGGAGACACGAATGCGCGTTGGTAGCAAGAACCCTGCGCCAGCCCGAACACCGACGCGTCTAGTCTCTGCCCCCCACCCCCCACCTCAATTGTACGAGGGGGTTGGAGGACTCTGTAGGCTGGGTTATAGTGTTAGACCGCACGGATTCAAACAACACCAAGGCATAGCAGCCACGTGCGGTGTTGTCACAGGAAGTAGTGACACATTCACGTTTGGACGAAACGGCCAAAAAATATATAACGGGACGAGTCAGCGCCGGCGATGTACACTCGTTGGTGGTAAACGATGTCAACGATGGGTCACCTTGCCGGCGGGAATCATGACGACAAAACACGACATTCAGTAACCACGCGAGAATCGGACCCCCCCCCCCGCCGCCAAAAAAATCCGAGACGACCAAATTTCACCAACGAAATGAGGAAGAGTGTGCGGACGTTCGGTCACGGATTACGCATCGGATCCAATTTTAATTCAATCGTTTTAGGGCACAGTGCGCCTTGCGAATAATTTCCCTCTTCCACACGTCACCGTGCAATCCGGTTTCATGCAAATCGTTTTGGCAACAGTTTTGTGAAATACCCACGGCACTGGTTGCGAGACATGGACTGGTTTCAGTAAAATCAGTTGCACGATACCGGTTGCATTTCTGCGGCGTCTCACGATTTGAAGCGTTCTGCGAAACGAATTGAACTCTAAAATCGCAGTCAAATCCGCTACACTGGAATTCTTTTTTTTATAGGCGACTAATCACGCATACGTCTTTCGCTCGAGATGCATACAAAAAATACGGTAACATAAAAACGTATCCCACAATAAACATTGCTTTAAAAGTAAAAGTAGACAGGCAACGTTTCGGGCAAAGGCCCTTCTTCATAGCACGTTGGCTAATATAAGGCGGCGTTAGACGAATGTTAAGTTGTATTGTTGTGCACTTGTGCCAGCAGTGTTAACTAATTTGGTCACACGAGTTGCGCTCGACTGGTTAACTTTTAAATTGGCTTACAATTTTAAAAGATTGAAGAGAAACTGATTTACCCTGTTGTTGGTTTTTTACAGTTTAGTCACATTGGTTGCACCTAAGGCGGTTTATTTCCATCGCGTAAACCAGGGTCCTACGAACCAAACCCGTCTCTCTCCACAGAAGACGTATCCTGGCGAACCTTCACGTTAAATCCTTTAAATACAAAACCAAAGACAGAAAAAATATATAAAATAAACCACATTTGTGCTTTGATAGGCTGCTTGTTTTTCCCCCTTTCTTCAATAGAATAAGGAAATAAGGCAAGTCCCTACCAAGGGTCGTCATCGACTAACAGTTAAATTCAAGCATTTATTGTCATACGAATTGCACTGCGTGCAGAGGCGCAACTATTCATCCAGGAAATGACAGCGGCCACTGGTGTCTGCGGGGAGGTCACGTCAGTTTCATGCACAACGCACAGGATAAAAAATATAACAGATTATTACGCACACGACTAGGCCAAGGATCGATACCCAAGCGATGCATGGTTACGCCTCTCCTTGCGTTAGCGATTCCACGCAACACGTGACTTAGAGATGCCCTCTGGGGGCATATTTCAAGCACTAGAGGTACAAAAACTCACCTCTGTTATCCTCTGCTCCCTCATCTACGAGCGACCCTTATAACTTACCAGTGTCCCATGCACATGCTAACGGACACTCACTGCACAGTCCCATCGTGAAAATACTCTGGGTCTTTTGAGATATGCGTAAACCAAGTATTAATATTTTTTAGTTTTTTTTCACCATTTCTTTACGAAAAAAATGTGTACCTCTGCAAGGTTATTTATAATTTTAATACATAAAGCTCAACGTTCTCACATTACGTAAACCAATCCATGCAAATAATAACACCACACGTGTTTGCACAGATCAAATAATGTCAGATGGCCAAGAATGCATTTTTTTTGTCTTAAGTCTTTTGTATTTCCCAGCCAATCAAAATGTGCATTATTAAAAAAAATTGTCACAGGTGACTTCGGGAGACCTTTAAGCCCCCGTTTAGTCCTGGACAAGTCAAGTCGGCAATCAGTCCTTCAAGTTGCGAACGGACATCATTATTCAAACAAACGGAGGTAACTAAGGCTACGCATTGTAACAAAAAAACAACGTTAAACTATTCTCAGACTACATTGTCAACCCTTCACAATTTGGCCCCCCAAACACAAACAAAAAAAATACACGCGCAAAAAAACGAACGCTAACTAATACGGCAAATACACGTAATAACATTCGGTGGCAAGCAGCAATTATTATAAGTCTCTGGGGTTCATGGTCCAACCCTCAAATCCACACAGGTTAAATCACATGCCTCCCCACCCACCTTGCCACTGTAAGGGCAAAGCCAATGCGCATGCTCCGCCAAATGTGGAAGGCCGCATTTTCCCCAAACCTCAGTCCTCACGGGCCACCACAAATCGCACCGTGTTCACCCCATTTCCCCTTCAAATTCAGCGCTGTACGCGCACCTGACGTTTACCAAACATGTTGCACGCGCGACCCCGGCATCGGTTCACCCCTACGGCAAGTGCCAATACCGGGGACTCGAGTGCGCGCGCGCACACACGCTGGACGGCGATGTCAAATCCCCATCGCGTCACGTGCGGCTTGTTTTGTAATCGCCAGGTGCGTGCAGTAGATGACTTCATCTGTGCTGAACTAAAGGACTGGTGCACACGCGGACGAGGCACGCCGTCGTGGTATCACGGGACAAAGTTTGTGAAAACCCTGCGAGGGGATGGGGGATGGCAAGGGAAAGTCAAAGTGATCCCTGCACCGTCCCATACTCAATACGTTGGGTCGCCAGGGGGAGGGGGGCATGTGGACTCTCCTGGTGTGGCCCTGCTGGGAAAGGTGACCACAGAGTCTTATTTACCTCGTTTCAGCTGCAGGGGAACAGCAACCCGAACTACCGTCTACAAGGGAGCGACCCGTACAGGCACCACCACCCAACGCAGGGCGGGGGGTTCTGACCAACGGTGGGGGGCGCGGGGGGGGGGGGGCGCGAGTCAAGGAGAAACGGTACTTCAACCGAAATGTAAACTTTCATTCTTCAAGGACGTGTCCATCGCCTTGTTCCTGAAGGGCCCACGTGACATGGGGATTTTATGACAAACTTTGCCACGCCGTTTGCTGTTGTTACAAACATGTAGTTGCCAAAACCATGGCAAAAAAAACTGACTGCTGTTCTCTTGCGGGGAAACTGGAAAAGCAAGTTCCAGTCCGTTTGCAGAGGATGCACTCGATTACGCAAGGGTGTGTTACTCTGTAGACTAATTATAGTGAATACACTCTAATTAACAAAGGGTGTTTTCATTGGCAAGACATAATTGCGACTTGGAACCTTTACTGTGCCACCACCAATCCAAGTTACCAGTGCCCCGTGCAAAACGGGCTGCAGGTGACAAATCGATGGCGACATTCGCACGAAAATGCATGGTGGCAATTGCTGAAAGACGGCTGTCCTTAAAGTGCCCGGCGTGTCATCACGGCCTTAAAGCAGTGACGCTTTGGGCACCAGTGGGAATGAATCCAGTACCTCCAAGGTGGCTGTAGGGATACACCATTTAAAAATAACCACAGCCTCTGTGAGCAATTTAAATCCACTTAAACTCAAGATTCAATCACATTGATTCAATTAGTCTGCTGAACAAGTTTTGAGAGGCAGCACTTGTGCCTGGAGAAATGAAATGTATTTTGACGTGAACCACAGAATTGATCAAGTAGCAGCGAGCGGTTGTGGTTGGACAGGGGTTGATATCCCGAAACATACCCACCCAACAAGGTATTTCAGATGTAGCCAGGTTTCTCCTTGACTGGTTTTCCAAACAAACATTTTAAAAATAAAAATGAGGTCACAAGTTGTGGAGCTAAAGGCAGGCAGAGGGCTGGAGGCCGTTGGTGAGATGTCTTGCAAACAGGAGGCGGGCGGCAGGGGGTGCTAGATTAACCGTCTCTGCCCAATGATAACATCAGCTGTGCGAGACCAACTAGGACATCGCTGCCCATCCCTATGCAAGAGTCCTCACCAAGAGCCGTTCCACAGAGCCACCCTGAACGTTCATGGCAACAGACACGCTGCTGCTGCTGCTGCGCGTGTAGAATAACACGCGAGTGTTGATCCAGCATCACGACTGGTAAATCAGCGGTTCGTCTTAGTGTACGCCGACATCCAGCACACACGCACACACCACACACTCGCGCGTGCACGCACACACGGACCAGTCGGCTGGTTTTGATTCAGTCTCACACACACACACACACAGACCGCGTGTGCAGTTTTGACCTGCCATACGAGGTGACAATGGTCAAGGAACTTGTCTGCAAAACGCAATGCCTGTATAACAGTGTTCACTACGAGCAGTGAAAGTAGGCCTTCCACAGAGCAGCAGAGCCACCGGCTAAGCAATCCATGACTGATTAATGATCCTTGTAACGTGAAACTGGGGTGGCGTGAAACTGGGGTGGCGGGGGGGGGGGTAGAAGTGGGGGGGGGGAGAGACAAAAGGTGAGGATGGGGAAGTTCGCGATTGCCTCTGCAATTAAAGCGAAGCCAATTGTGATTGGACAGTCGTGAGCCTGTGGTCAAGTGGTGGTTGGAGTGTGCGGCCCGGTGGATGTGCGGCCGGGTGGATATGCGGCCAGGTGAATTGGCGGCCGGGTGGACGCGCAGGCCAGGCGGATGTGCAACCCGGCGGATGTACGACCGGGTGAATTGGCGGCCAGATGAATGGGCGGTCGGGTGGATGAACGGCCGGGCGGAGGGACGACGCGCAAACCTGCGCCTAACTACATCAGGCAGCAAGAGAACTTGGAGCGCATGCAGTTTTTGTCGATCCTCTCCATCTCCAGTACGATCTGGCGGAACACCTCTTGCACGGCCTGAAAACAAACGCACAGCACAACACAGGTTTCCCAGTTAATTCTCTGTTCCAGCCATGGCTAACATCAGTGGAAAATGATGCATCATCACCTGGTCCTGCCCAACCCCGCACAGCTCCCCCAGCCAACCGGAACTTCTCAGACCCTGCTTTGACCGTCCTGGCGAAGAATGGTCAAACAACTCCCCCCTCAAGCCACTCCATGTTAAACTGCGTAGGGAGACCATACAGCAGCAGATTGACAAAGGGACTGTGGATAAACCAAGTGTTCAGTTAAAATTGATTGGAAATATCAATACGATAGATAGGTGTGTATGCCCTTCACAAAAAATACCAGTATCGCGTTGTTTACATTGCCAGATAATTGCATTTAGGATGCGGTTAAACAAAGGGTAAACAAAGCCGAGGTGGGGAAAAAGCCACGTGATCAATGTCAGCCAAATGCAGACAGCAAAACGAAAAGTGTTAAAAACTGCAACACAAGACATCGTTTGCGGCCACGCGAAAATGAATAAAACCCACACACGGGGGAAGCTTCCCAACATTTGGATTCGAGTTGTACCTCCCCTAGTTCTTCAGTAGAAAGATACCGATGCATAACAACTCGTGTTGACCATTACTGCCTCAGTGGTTAATGGTTATTAATCATTCTGCACACTGCTCGTCGAACCCAGGTGGGGTGTGTATAGGTTGGGGGGGGGGGCACGCCTTGTGTGCGCACTCCATGTGCCCTCTTGCAAATGAGGGGAATGTTTACAAAGCTTATTTTGCTGGGAGCCCTTCCTCTCGACCCCCTGCAGAGCGTAAATTCCTGCATACTCCCTGCTGCTTAGTCAAGAAGTGTCCACACACGTCCCCCATCACCACACACATCCCCCCCCCATCACGACATCCACCCCCTCCCCCCCATCACGACATCCACCCCCTCCCCCCCATCACGACATCCACCCCCTCCCCCCCATCACGACATCCACCCCCTCCCCCATCACGACATCGACCCCCCCCCCATCACGACATCCACCCCCTCCCCCATCACGACATCCACCCCCTCCCCCCCATCACGACATCCACCCCTTCTCCCCCATCACGACATCCACCCCCTTCTCCCCCATCACGACATCGACCCCCTCCCCCCCCCATCACGACATCCACCGCCGAGATTACATCGACCCCCTCCCCCCCATCACAACATCCACCCCTTCTCCCCCATCACGACATCCATCTTGACCATCCACCCCCTCCCACATAACCAGCCTCAGGAGACCAACACATAACCACAATCACCCCCCCCTCCCCCCCAAAAACGCAAAAACGGGGGACAAGACACTCCCCCCAACCCACGCAAAACTGCCAGATGTATATCCCAATCAAGGGAAGAAACAGCTGTGTTTGTATGTTTGTATGTATGTATGTAGAACTTCTTTCACACTGCACGTAGCCAACTGTGCTTATCGAAGGTGTGGTTCACATCGTCTCTCTGGGGAGACTGCAAAAACAAATATGTGGACTAGAGGGTGGTTTAACGACGAGTGTGGTGGTGGTGGTGGTGACCCTGGAGGGTCGTGGACATATGCCGAGAGCGTGGAGGAGTTTGGAGAATGCGGAGGCGTGGGAAGGGATGAGGACGTATGGGGGAGAAGGTAGAGTGAGTTGTAGGGGGGTGGTGGTGGGGGGAAGGGAGAGTTGTAGGGGGGTGCTGGTGGGGGGAAGGGAGAGTTGTAGGGGGGGTGCTGGTGGGGGGAAGGGAGAGTTGTAGGGGGGTGGTGTTGGGAAGGGAGAGTTGTAGGGGGGTGGTGGTGGGGGGAAGGGAGCGTTGTAGGGGGGTGGTGGTGGGGGGAAGGGAGAGTTGTAGGGGTGTGGTGGTGGGGGGAAGGGAGCGTTGTAGGGGGGTGGTGGTGGGGGGAAGGGAGAGTTGTAAGGGGAAGGGAGAGTTGTAGGGTGGTGGGGGGAAGGTAGAGTTGTAGGGGGGTGATAGTGGTAGTGGGGGGAAGGGAGAGTTGTAGGGGGGTGGTGGTGGTGGGGGGAAGGGAGAGTTGAAGGGGGGTGGTGGTGGGGGGAAGGGAGAGTTGTAGGGGGGTGGTGGTGGGGGGAAAGGAGAGTTGTAGGGGGGTGGTGGTGGGGGGAAGGGAGAGTTGTAGGAGGTGGTGGGGGGAAGGGAGAGTTGTAGGGGGGTGGTGGTGGGGGGAAGGGAGAGTTGTAGGGGGGTGGTGGTGGGAAGGGAGAGTTGTAGGGGGGTGGTGGTGGGGGGAAGGGAGCGTTGTAGGGGGGTGGTGGTGGAGGTAAGGGAGAGTTGTCGGGTGGTGGGGGGAAGGTAGAGTTGTAGGGGGGTGATGGTGGTGGTGGGAAGGGAGAGTTGTAGGGGGGTGGTGGTGGGGGGAAGGCAGAGTTGTAGGTGGGTGGTGGAGGCGGAGAGCGAGGTGCTGGAGGAGATGAAGGCAAGCGGTAGGTGAACAGACCTCATTCTCCTTGGCGGTGGACTCAATGAAAGCCGCATGCCAGGAGTTGGCCAGCTTCTTCCCTTCCTCGTAGCTTATCACTCTGTTGGCAGGAAGGTGACAAAACAGGCACGCCTCTGTAAAATCCACTCACGCCCGCAACAACATTTCCAGCAATGCGCACATTGTATCCATGAGCACCGAAGACAAACAAACACACACGAGGGTATTCCTCACCGGTCCATGCTCAAGTCTTTCTTATTCCCAACCAGGAGCATTGGAACGCTGTAAAACAATAAGACAGATGTGTAACTTGTGCAGAAAACAAAGCAAAGCATGACTCGTACAACTTTCCATCAGCATTTTCATCGAGCAATGCTTCCGTCAACGATCATCTTACGAGTAATACTGCACGCAAAAGGTGATTACACACGAATGTGAACACCGGATCAGTCCTCCCATCATACCCCTGATTGTCACGTGACATCACCATACCACATGTATAAGCAAACAATGGAAAAATCAATTCAATTGTCATAATGTCATCTTTTGCCATCTGTAAAAAAAATCACCTGTTGTGCATAATATTATTACTAACCCGATTTGTTTCCACCCTGCACGCACTTTTCTCTCCGAGTTTCACGTATTTTAAGGAAAGCGTTGGGATGAGTTAACTCCTCTTCTTACGTGGTTGGCCATTAAAATGTTTATTTACGGCAAAACCTAAGTCACCCAAAACACGAGAGCTCGTGACAACAGCGAAATTCGAGGCTTGTTTTTACAAAACACGGTTCAATCAAACATCTCGTTGGGTGTGCTACCCGGTGACAGTTACAAGCAAGGGAACAGGCTGGGTGTCTCATCGCTGTGCATATATGGCTGTTGACCAAGAACATTTAGATTATTGTAATATGAAGACAACTATTTGTCCAAGACAAATTGGGAGAGAAAAGCTAATTTGATGGCTCGATTAAAATAAAAATGCTGATAAGTTAGGTTAATCCTTTAATATCACGAAAAGATAACAGTTACCCTAAGGAGACAATTCACTAATAATTTGGAATAAAACAATATTTAGCAGTAACGCGGTTGAGAGTACAAAACAGATATTTAAACGCACCACTTAAGACAAAAAGTGGACGTGTTACATGAAGCATTGGCTACGTTAATCACAATTCTTAGAAGATATCAGCGGGCAGCATACGACCGAACTATGTGACCCACATCCTGTACCATCACCAAGTATTTGTGTGGGGGTCAGTGGTGGGGGGGGGTTAAGGGGGGAACCCTGTGATAATTCCCCATGCGTGACAGAGAGCACAGTGAGTGTGGGGGGAGGGGAGGGGCGACTGGCAATTTCGTACGACTTACCGCACTCTCCCAATAATGTCCTTCAGCTTGTCATGGATTGTTTGGATCACCTGAAAGCTGCGGGTAGAGGACAGAGTTGGCGTTAGCTCGCGAGAGGTGCAACAAGTGTGGCATTCGCCACATGACGACGATGACGAAACGGCTCCTGGAAACCCACTCTCGTGCGAAGGCGTGCGAGAGAGGGTTTGGAATAAACGGAGCGCACGCTGGGATCTTTACCAACGGTCACGCAGAGTCGACTTGTTAATTATTATTTTCTGTTCAAGGCACTATGAATTAAAAAAAAGAATGCCCTTCCTTCCGCGGGATCCCACAAGTGCTGGAAGTCACCGACTGACCCCAAAAGACAGCTTTTCTCATGGTTTCACCCCAAAATGTTTCATTTTAACCCTTCGATTTTATATCGGGTAGAATGGAATCCCTTAAAGTGAAGTGTACCTGGGGTAACGAACATTACTAATCGTTATTCACCACACTCGTTCCTTTAAACATATTGTACAATTTTAAAACTGCTCAGCTGATATGCGATAAACAAAAAATAAATATTAAATCGGCGAGACTTATTGTTTGCCCACTAGAATTATAAATCATGTAACTACATTTCCGTGCAAATTATTGCATGCCTACCAAACGCCTGGCATCGTCTCAACGCAGCTGCATCTCAAGACGCTCATGACCAAAGCAAAATGGCCTTGGGCCGTAGAGGGGCAGCCATAACAACACGGATTATTTAATGTGCAAAATGTGTTTTCGTTCAAAGCAAGGTCACTCTGTCTGGTATCTTTCTTCCTATGTTTACCGGCATAGGATAGTGAGCAATGTGTTTGTAATCCCCTGCAAAGTTACACTATGAGCTCACAAGGCCACTTTTGTTTAGCTCCCTTACATTATACATTATAGTCACCACCCCTTTCCCCTGCCTACTCCCTTTACAATGTTTTGTGTTTATGTCCAGAGGTCTGAGCAAATAGGACCATTATCTTCAAACGTCTGCATGAGCTGCACCACAGTGTTTTGCTTAAGGAGATAAACAAACGGAAACCAACTATGTTAGATAAACCAAAGGAAACCAGACACTCAAACCACCAGTGACTCAAAATAGCGCCAATCGAAAAGGAGGATCGTACACTGGGCCTGTGCTAAAAACAAAGCCTTGTTTTTTTTCTATATTAGGCTCAACAGGATCTTAATATTAAAAAAACAAGTTGTGAAATCTATTATGTATATTTTAGGCAAAATAGGACCTTGGGTAAAATTAAATGTTGTGAAATGTTAGTTCTGGCCACAGTACAAGAACCAAACTAATAGCTTAACTCATTCCAACATTTTTCTTATAAAACATTGGCATCTCTTGACCAATACAGGGACCCATGTCCATACTTTAATATAGCCGCCCTTAGCAGTAATACTTCAAAATGAACCGGTCAAGCGGTAAAAGCCTGCCAAAAAAACACTGGCGACTCGTTGAGGATATCCTGGGTAAAATGAGGAAGTTTAATTTTAAATCACCTCCTGTTGGACGTGACAGAGTAGACCAGCACGTAGCCATGCACATCCAAGGAGTAGAACTGCTGGAACGGAGAGTACTCATCCTAGAGGCACGCGGGCAGGTACAGGCAGCACATGCACACAGACGTCAAGAACAGCAAGCTAGGGAAAAAAATCATGGCCACGCGATGATCGTAGGGAACGCATTCCCAACACGCGTTCAGCAGCATTTAGTTGGCAGCACGGAACCCCAGCGGGGCAAAAATGCGTTTGTGTATATTCAAAGTCATATTTTGTTCTAGTTGTGAGCTTCCCAGGTTTTGTGGAAGTCTTCAACCAATTTGGCCAGTGTTTTATGTATACGCCAAGTAACGTATTATAGCATCACAACATCATACAATAGGCTCGTTTATATTAAATCGTCGTCACGAGTTACCGTGCAATATTTTTTTTAGTAAACCCAGCTGGCTATATATGCCAAGTGATGAAATTAATTTCATCGTACATTTTGTGGAGTCATTTGCCTGTGACCAACCCAATAAAAACGTAACCACGGGTCCTTTGAAACAGGAATTGAAACCCAGGATTGCGGGAGTTGCTGGCTCATCGCTCTTGGTGGTAAATCCCGAGCCACCTGGCCACTCTCCCACCGACATTAACATAGCAAAGTATCCAGAACACGCTAAAAAATAATCATGCACTCCCACAGCAGATTGTGGGTGCGATATATTTGGAACCTGCACTGCGAGCGGACGGCCGTTGTCCATAACAAAACGAAAATATTTGATTTTACCAGAAAAGGCCCACTGAGCTATACAGCTCTTTTTCAAAAGAGACCTGGCCACAAATGATAGCCCAAATAAGTGGCTTATCTTGTGGAAATTAACATCAGCCAAATACTCTTAAAAATGAATGTTACTAAATGTAGAGGGAAAAACCAGAGGATCCGGAGAAAAAGCCACACAACCAACAGAAAATAAAAATTATTTAGTTTTCGACGCCGAAACAATCTAACCTGCTCCTTTCAGAAACGTTGCGATTTTATGAGGCTGAGACAATATGGACACGCTCCACCGAAGCCAAACAAACCACAAGTTGTTTTTTTCCATTTCCCACATCGATCTGAGCAATAAAAACACGCGGCCACCGCTGTCCAAGTGTGCGTGCGCACCTGTACGCACGCAGGAGCATAAACACACAACTCTGGCCAATTTATTTTGTTTGCTAAACAACTGTCAACAGGAGCATTTCCTACTGTGAAATTTCAGTTGCCATAGTTCCAGCCCTCAACTTTACAGGTCAGCTGCGACTATTAACCTGCACACACGATCAGCGATGAGTGACGTCTACACCAATACTGGGGTCACTTTCACCAACCGCCACCGAACATCTTGGCGAAGAATGGCCAAACAACCCCCAAGACTTACCCAGCGCAAGACAGGCCTTTCATCCAGCAGAGGATTGATAAAGAGCAGACCATATTTTTTTGTATTTCTTACTATTATTACGTTAACTAATAGGTTTTTCCCCTTTTTCTGGCAACAAAACTGATACCTTTTGCAAGGAATCATGTTAACATTAACCACAAGCACATCTGGTCGAACACCATATGAGACTAGGCTCTAAGAAAAGCTGTCTCTGGTGTGGACCAATCAGTTTCAAGGACAATGCATAAATTATCAGAGTATTGTTTTTTTTGTTTGCATTTGACTGCAAGTATTGTGGTTAATGTTAACATGATTCCTTGCAAAAGGTGTCAGTTTTGTTGCCCCTAATTAAAGGGGAAAAACCCTATTAGTATATTTTGGTACTGGCAAAGGAGGCCTCATGATATTATTACATTCTTACCTGGCCGGCTGTGTCAACCAGCTTCAGGTGGAATTCTTGTCCATCCACAGTCAGCATCTTGTTAAAGGCTGCACAGCACGCGGACAAACATGGAGATGAGCACATGCAAGATAAAGTTGCAGCAATATATATGCTGTACATAAGCACATATGAGCATCGGTATGATAAAGCAACACAATGGTGGGAGTGGGGGAAGGGAAACTTCCGATTCAAACACTCTGATATAACCACATATGGGGGCTTGTTCCAAAGCGCCATTGATTGTATCCAATTTCTGCTTTGATGCAGCAATGCAGGGGGGGATAAATAAAAACATACTTACTGTTTTCAATGGTTGGATCGTACGAGTTCAGAAACTCATCTTGGGCAAACTGGACAGTCAGAGAAGATTTCCCTGAAAAGACAATCGACAATATAACAAATTACGAAAAATCACTTTTGGCACTTGTAACACTTTGTCACCATTAATTTTTTCTTCCGAAGTGATTCACTAGCGGCACGGAAGTAAGCAGGAAGCAGTAAAACAGGCGATAAGTGTTGGCATATTGGACAAAGAAAAATTGTCCTCGTCTCTCTGGTTTGGGTCTCCCAAGTTTTGGGCAACCCAATTGTCCGATTTGGTCTATTTTAATTTAAAAGGGCAGATTGCTAATCACTCAACTTACACTACAGATTCATTCATTGAGGTACTCAGGTGTCCCCTCTCAACCCTGTTACGGGACAAAGGTAATGCATACACCCTTTCAGGCATGATTTTAACTCGAAGGCGTTTACCTGTCACCTCTTGTCCATTGTGTCTGTGTTGTCCTGCTTGAGTATGAATAATGCACTTAAGCAGTAAAACAAAGACGAGAAACTACGAATAATTGCATTTCCTGATTTCATCACAAACAAGCACAATAAAACTGTACAAGCATTTAAATGGAGTAAATGCAAATGATACCCCCCCCCCCCTACTGCCTCCACACAGGAACACAGGGGGGGGGGGGTTGAGGATAATCCCATTTAGGGGGTACCCTTCATCAAGGAAAACAAAGGCCAAGCCTAAACCAGCCCCCTCGCTGGGCAAAGTGGCCCTGGAATTCATTTGAAATGCGCATACTTCTGGACAGACACCAACACTAGAATTCCCATAGGGAGACCTTGCCTCTGCATTCCAGAGCACTTATTTCACTTGTAAATGAGAAAGATATGCATCTGTTATCACAGACACATGTAAGGCTGTTTACTGAGTCAACATTGTTTTATCCCCCCCCCCCCCCCCCCCCCGCAACAAGTTACAGGAATTAAGATATTGCTGAAGTAGCAAAAAATAAACGCCCACGAACTGAGTGATTTCGCATTGACGCAATAAAACCGAGCCCTTCATTTTAAACATGATCATTGGGGATTAAGCAGTGGTTCTCCCACTGTTATGAACTCAAGAGACCTACTACTACCGACAACTATTTTTTTTATTTTACCAGATCAGGCCCACTGAGCTACATAGCTCTTTTTCCGAAGCGACCTGGCTGATTACGTGTAAATTTATAGCGGCCAAATCCTCTTAAACGTATGTTGATTCTAAATTTGGAGGGAACAATCGGAGGACCCAAAGAAAATCCACACGACCATGGGGAGAGAGAATGAAAACTCCAAATATACTCACGTCAGGGTTGGGATTGAACCCACAACCTCCTTCATATCAGGTGAGGGAGTTAACATCTCGCCACTGCGGCGCCGAGTGCAATTCCCAGCCATGAATAATATTTCATGAACCTAGAGTCCCCCTCTTAACCAATCCGCACTGGCCATGCTGATAAAAGTATATTCCTGTGTAGGAAGTTGTGGGATGTGCTGTTTGAACTCATGTCTCCTTACATCCCTTCGTTAAAAATAATGAGACCTAACAAGTACAAAACTGAGGCTAATTCATTGTCCATTTTTAACTCGAGGCTGAAGCCATTGTTCGAACTAACTTTTAGCGGCACAACTTATCAGCAAATTATTAGCCCGTGTATTATTTTAGTGGATTACAATCTCTTGTGTTTTTACAGTAACAATGGATTACAGTGGACTGGCAAAGTTCCTTGTGAGATCTTGATCCTGAGAGGCGTGCTGCGAGTAAATGCAGTGTTATTGTTGCTGCTACTACTGGTATTAATCATTCACATTTAGAAGAAATACTGATCACAGGTCAGTAGTTAGCCTTTGATGGGCTTTTGGGTGAGAAAAATAAACAAAAAACAATACGGTCTGCCCCAGGGCCACGTGTCGACCACACTGCGACCTTCAGCTAAGTCACGCCAAAAATGCACCGCGTCACTCCGTGGCCTGTGCCCCGATTACACGGCCTGACCCTGGGAAGAAAAGGCCCTGCCCCCAGCGGTTCACGACCCGGGAGGAGGCATTCTCAGGCCCTACCACGTGCTCCATAGAGTCTGTGGCCGAACCCGTGGCAACGTTCACATGCCTACGTGTTATGGGCTCACGGACATTGCAATATGGACAAAAAATGGGACAGTTTGGAATTTTTATGGGAAAACTAGGATGTACATCATGTGATTGCTTAGAATTGTTCAAGGAATCTGGCTGTAATTATCAAAGGCTTCCATTTTTTTTGATGGATTTTAAACACGACTATAATTTGCCTCAAGTACTGCACATTATACTTTAGGGTTGTGACGGTTGTCCACTCCCGCTATCACTTACAGTGGCAATATGATGACTAGTCAAGGATCTGTTTTAATGTTGCATTGAAGAGCGGCCTCTACAGCTTACAGGGTCACGGCCAAAATTCCACTCCATACAAAATGTACAAAAACAGTCCAACTGACCTTTGAGCGCCACGGAACTATAAAGTGAACGTCTATTCTGTACCTCGTGCGAAATGTCCATGGAACATGTTAAGGGACGCCACACAATCTGCATATGTACCAATGAATAAATAATAAAGGGACAGGAAGTCCTTTCTCTGTCTCCACTTAAACATAACATTGATTTTTTTTAGGCCATCACCTATGGGCCTATCCAGAACAATTTGCTGAAGCAGAAACACCAAGCCTCTGGACCAGTTTTTATCTTCGGGGGTTTCCTCGGCAGTCCGGTACTGGTAAAGGACTGCTCTAATTAAGGTTGCCAAATGTTATAGAAGGCTCTCTCCATCGATGCGATTGGGCAAGCATTTTCACAATTACGACTGTGCAAGGCCATGGGATATATATCATATGGAGTACTGCACAGTAATTTGAAAGCACATGTGTACTACACACACACACATCATCAGCCATGACCAATCAACTCCTGGAGGAAGACTTCCCAAAGGTCAAAGTCTAGACAGAAAATATATATGCTTACGTGTGCGAGAATATATATGTACGGGTGAAAATACACACATCTGCCGAAAATTCATTTCACATTACCAAAGGCCAAACAAAGGACCAAAAGTGGGTGACGGGGGTGGTGATTGGGGTTATTCTGCCCACACACCCACCCATAGACCCCAACCATGCCTTGCTGTTTTTATTTCACGGACAAAGGCAAAGAAATGGGAGTAAAAAAAACGAGGGAAAACCAAAAACACTAACTGTGGGGCTGGGCACCGCCCAAAAGACATCCCCTGGAATTACGGTATATCTGTTACAGAGGGCCCACAGCTACGGCTGGTGATGGGAGGTGCTCATCAGCAAGTCGCTGGCTAACAATGAGTGCAGGGCGTTGTACCCAAACCCACCCCCATAAAAGACAAAGACGCGCATAAGCCACGTGGTGAACACGCTCCTAGTTGTTGTAGTCGTTACAACTTTCGGGGGAATTTGGAATCCTGAGATTAAAAACCCTGCTTTTACAGATTTTATGTTTTTATATTCACGGACAAAGCAATACCGCTGGCTATTAAGAGTAAAATTGGCACATTGGGCTGGGCTCGAATAAATACTCGGTAAATTTGAGGTCAAACTTTTTCTAAGAAGTAATCAAGCGCCAGCTTGTTTTTTTAAACAAACAGAAAACTGGGTTAAAGGGTAGCTCCAAGAATTTAAGTACCATTACCACCCCTAACCACTACTCCACTCCTTCACCGACTTCTACTTTGCTATAAAAGTATACAGCGCTTCTGCAATTAGGGTTATACATTTATGGACACTCCACAAAAATAATATTAACTTAGAAACCCCACTTATTTTAAAGCCCCTACACATCTCCCTCCGATGTAAATACCCTGACCAAATATTTCAAGCGCTCAAAAAGGTAAACCTGATCCAAAAAAACAAGATCTGGAGCCATCCCATTCACAATGTTATCACTTATGTATTGAGGAGGGTAATTAGCTTATCTAGAGAGCATCTTCTTGTGGCAAACTAGCCATGCTGGGATGAACACTGACAACAGTGAAGCGACAAGGCGCACACACACTTGAGGTTCCGTTTAAATAAATTAAACTGCATATGCAGTTTATATAGGGACCCCTGGCGTTTATAACGATATAAACAAAGCGCTTATTAGGGAGCAAGCTGCCTTTATAACTTACCTTGGCAACATCACAGCGGAGCCACATGCGCTCCGTACGCACACCGCACATTAGCCCACATGGGAGTCCAAATGAAGCTTTGCCAAGTTGAACACAGTTGTATATATTGCAGTCACAACAGGCAAGTTCATATTCACAAGTAAATGTAACAATATATATTTAAAAAAACGTGCAGAGATTATGTTAGATTGTGTATGGTACTGTATTGTTAAGTGGGGAGCGGTAGTGTAGCGGTTAGCGCGCTGCGCAATGAATCCGGCGACCCGAGTTCGATTTCCGCTCACAGCCAACACCAGTGACGATTATCCGAACCGGTCCTGGGCCTCCCCTAGGTCGACTATGCCTTAAAACGAGTACCTGGTGCAACGTGTAAAAATTGCCACTGGGGAGACAAAGGCGGCCGGGAAGTGGTGCTAGCCACGCACCCCCCTCGTGTGCTGTGCTGGCCTTAATAGTTGCTTGCTCACAGCATTTGCCCCAACAGTCTGTTAAGGCGATTTTAGGTATTGTTAATTGATAACCTTCAAGCTGTTGGGTTTACTGACAAGGCCGTATCCGCAACAGAGGCACTCTTTCGCTGCGCTCTGCACGGTGAAGTCAAACACGTGCCATCGTCGGAGCGCACGCGAGCATCGCACCGATGATGTTGATGCATTACTACAGCGCGCACACACACACACACGTGCCGAACACGCGAGTTGTTAACGAAACACGTGTGCATGTGCGATTAGGCGTATGTGCCATTACAGAAGTGTATACGGCATGCTATTACACGGCTCGCTTTGCTTATACACGGGCTGAACACGTCTATTCCGCACGTGTACGCTGAAATAGTACACAGTATACGTGCGGTGATTACTACACCGCCGCCTTTATCCACTACCTCGAACGCGCGCGTGGCTGCGCCCAAGCAACTCGCACTCCCATTAGCCGATGAACATAAACACGCGCACGTGCGCTTCGGTTTTTTTTGTATCGACACGCAGAGATATTCCAGAGCCGTGGATCTCGGCGTTCCAACTCTTACAGCTTCCCCGGCACACACCGCCCCGGTTCTTACCAACAGAGGGGAATCCCAGCACGGCGATCTTGCGGAACTTCGGCGGAATCGGAGGCTTCTCGTACTTCTTCTCTTCCTGCTTCTCCTCCTGCTGCTGCTGATTTCCTGGCTTTTGCTCCTTCTGTTTCTGGTCTAGCGGCATAGCCGCTGCACTGGAGCAGCAAGCCTGGGCCGCGGTTCCCGCAGTCGCGTCCATGATTGCGATGGATTTCAGTGTTTGTATTTTTTTTAAAGAAATATAAATTAGGTGGTCGGAGCAGCAGCAGCAGAACTGAAACGGGCAACGCGAGTTGACGACGGTTAACCCACGTGGGCTGGGAAAGGCAGCGAAAAAATGGGTGTCCCCGCCGGGCTTATCGCGGTTGCACGCTGCTCGCGCGATTGGAACAAGAAGAGACCGCCGGGGAGGGTAGAGGCGGATAAGGATAAGGAGGAGCGGGAAGAGGAGCTGCGTCTCAGGGCGCGGCGAGACGCGAGTGAAGAGCCCCGCGTGAGCTCGCCGCGAACATGGCCGCGGCACGCCGCGCTCCCCACCTCCACACGCGCCGCGACACCTTTACGGCACAGCTTTGTGTACAAAACTGTCGTAAAGATAATTGGTCGGATACGGCGGCGGGGCGGGGGGGGGAGGTGTGTGAGAATTTTTTTTTTTAAAGACGTTTGTTTTTTTTGTCGTACACATTCACGCGGTCCGTTATATATTTCGAATAATGCTTCGCGTGCCCATCGACGTTTAGATTTTTCGAGGGAAGTAAGTTAATTGTTTTTTGGTTAGGACGTTGCCGTAAAAATGTCGACGCTTTACGACATTCCGAGAATTCCTGCGACTGGAGCCCGCCCTGGGCGGTGACGTAATTTTCGCGCGGCGAAGTCGAGATTTATTTTGATCACGTGGCAGCCTCGATAGCCAATAGCCGATCGTCGTCTGTAGGCCGCGCCCATGCCCGTATATGGGTCGTGGCTGCATTGCGCGTCCGATTGGCTGCCGTGGATTTGAACTGATCCAACATTTTTCTTAGTTTTTTCGGTAAAGTCACGTTGAAGAGAAACAACAAAATAACAAAATATATATAAAACAATAAAACATTCTCACGACGTTTGAGTTATGGTCGAAACGTCGTGAGAATTTTTTATTGTTTTATATATATTTTGTTATTTTGTTGTTTCTCTTCAACGTGACTTTACCGAAAAAAACTAAGAATATTAATTACTGCAGTCACGAAAGCTTTAAATCAAAATTTGATCCAACATTGTAAAATATGTAGGGGGGGGGGGAACAGCTGCATTGGTACATTCTGCCAAAGCAATTGCTTTCAAAATATTCCACTTGAATCGACAATGGTTTGCCCCAAAGGTGGGAGTGTAAATTATGGTGGGGGGGCAGCGGGCGGTCCCCGCCTGGGTGTGATCGATTCAAAACAAAATCTAATCAAGAATCTATAGACTTGATTCTCGAATCGCAATTTAAATATATCTATAGAGTTAACAACTGTATAGTATATTAATTTCACAATGCACAGTATGGACTCGCATCGAAATAATTATTTGTGTGTGCATTAAAAAAAAACGTACACCGGAGACGTGACAGTGCTCGCAACATTTCGATTCCGATCATTAGCAATTTATAGATTATCGGAATCAACAACAATTTATTATAAACCCTTCATCTATCCACTGCTGGATGAAGGTCTCCCGAAGTCGTCGCCAATCCCTCGTGGTTTTGCGATGCCAGCGTCTGGCGCCTGAACACGACCAGATTTCACGTATTGTTGAACTTTTTTCTCACCGTACGTTTAACTCTTTAGATTATCGTGTTGCTGTTAATGTCCAAATGATGGCCATTTTGTGGCCAGGCTGCTTTTGAAATTTAAGTTAATACCTCAAGTGGGCTTTGTCTGGTAGGATTGGGGATGGTTTCGTTGTGTTGTTATGGGCGTTTGGGTGATTTGTTTATCTTTCTTGTACTTTGCACTCCTATCGTGTATCGTTGTAACGTTCTTATGCTAAAATAAGAGCTGTATAGCTCATCGGATTCCTCCAGTATGAATAAATATTCTTATTCAACCATGCTAATTGGAGGTTAGCGGTTCTAAAGAAATGAGTTTTCAACGTATCGCTAAATCTCTGTTGGTGGTGGCAAGTGCTCAGGGGACGTGCGTGGTGATTTTCTCCTTTGACTGCCACTCCCTGAATCCTTTAGTCTCGACCATCCTCCCTCTCTTCTTGCCGACCAGCCCATACTGGACATGTGTGAAAAAATTAAAGAGCTTCATAGCTCATCGGATTCCCCTTGCAGTCTAAATACAGATTCTGATTCTGGCTACCGATGGTGTCTGTGCCTAAAGGTCACTGTCGATGGTGCTGACCAGTCCATACAGGACATGTGTGAAAAAATTAAAGAGCTTCATAGCTCATCGGATTCCCCTTGCAATCTAAATACACATTCTGATTGTGGCTATCAATAGTGTCTTGTGCCCAAAGGTCACTGTCGATGGTGCTGACCAGCCCATACTGGACATGTGTGAAAAAAATAAAGAGCTTCATAGCTCATCGGATTCCCCTTGCAGTCTAAATAAAGATTCTGATTGTGGCTACCGATGGTGTCTGTGCCCAAAGGGCCACCTGTACTTTTGTCGATGGTGAATATTGTGCGCCAAACTCGCGGGGACATTTCCTCCGACTCCTTCCAGTGAGAAATGCCTCCCCCATGCGTCTTTCTTCGCTCACTTTACAGCTTTTGATACGTTTCTTAAACGTCGTCCCACGTGTGTGTGTGTGTTTTTATGCACGTCATAATAGCAGATAATACCTACATCTGTGTGCCGCTTTTCATCATCAAAATGTTATTTTCCAAAAGCACTTTCAAGCAGCCTTTGAATAGTTCCGATCCTGGCCCCCCTTCAATTATCGGTCTAATGACTGTAAATCCAATCAGTAAATATGAAACGGTCAATATTTTCCTCTGTCTATGCCGTTATTTTCTCCTAACATCGATAACTTTTGAATACTTTGATAGAAAACTTTTTGAATGACATAATCAGCGTTTTATAGTAACGCACACACCCACGCTTATAGAAACCATGGTTCTAAAGAACCATAGATTAAATTTTGATTTAAAGCTTTCGTGACTGCAGTAATTCATATCTTAGCTCTTTCGGTAAAGTCACGTTGAAGGGAAACAATAAAATAATTAAATATAAAACAATAAAAATTCTCACGACGTTTCGACACACCTGATGACAACCGTTTGTGTTATGGTCGAAACGTGAGAATTTTTATTGTTTTATATATTTTATTATTTTATTGTTTCCCTTCAACGTGACTTTACCGAAAGAGCTAAGAATATAACCATAGATTAATCATTGGGAACAGAATACTAAAATATATCAGGCCGTTCGTCGCCTGTTTGCAAGAGAACACGGTTCGAATTTCTCGGGCCGCCCTGATTAACACTGCCGGGTATTGTTAACCGTAATAAGTAATATTTAAAAATACTATTTTTTTAAACACGCTTTAATTAAATGTACTAGTAATGGAAGAACTCCACGACTCCAGCAAGTGGCCCCGAAGCTTGCCACAACGTAAGGGGACCGTGGTGATTTACAGCCAACGTCAGTTGGCCGTGGACAATTAGAGCCAAGCCGAAACATGACATATAAAAAAGATTGTTTAAAAATAGATATATATTTTTTATTTTGAATGATAGAATATAGTATTGTCATCAGTATGACATAAGTATTCCAAGTTTGCAGGCGATACCACATTGGGAAGTGGGTTAATATTGAGTTACAAGATTTGAGGCTACAACAACAGACAGACAGAGTTAAATAAAAGCGTGTAAAAAAATACGCGACATTTAGAGATCTCGTTGTTGTCATTCGCAAGAGAATGCCATTGCGTGCCGGCGTCATAGTCCTAAAGTTAGCATTTAAACCTAAATGACACCGCCAATCACTCTCAATCAGGGATTACGCGTAAGCACCCCCCCCCACGCCTACTGCGAAAACTTGGCAGGACCCAACTCAAAGAACACTCTTGAGATTCGGAGAGGCTCTCTCATGGGTGACAACAAGCGTAATAACGCTACCAATTTGAAGACAGGATAAAAGATTTTGCCGTAAGTCGACAATCACGATAAGTTTAGTTTATCTTCTTTGGTTCTTTCGGTAAAGTCACGTAGAATGAGAATAAAATAATAAATTGATAAAATAAAATAACACAATAATATTCTCACGACGTTTCGGCCACAACACAAGCGGCCTTCATCAGGTGAAGGGAGCGAGACTGTCTGGTAGGACAGGGAGCGAGACTGTCTGGTAGGACAGCGCTGTCCTACCAGACAGTCTCGCTCCCTTCACCTGATGAAGGCCGCTTGTGTTGTGGCCGAAACGTCGTGAGAATATTATTGTGTTATTTTATTTTATCAATTTATTATTTTATTCTCATTCTACGTGACTTTACCGAAAGAACCAAAGAAGATGAATCATTGCAGTCACGAAAGCTTTAAATCGAAATTTAAGTTTAGTTTAATACACGATCACCTCCCGATTCCGTATTCAATGGAATCGACGTACGAGGTACTGGAATCGCGATGTTGAATCTGAGGGGAATCGAGAGTCGCCGCCATTTCGCCGACGCCCGGAAGTGTGAGCGCAGGTCTGTCCCCCGGTGCGTGAGGCGCTGCCTGCCCCTTCATTGCTGCTCATCCTCGCCTCGATCGCTCGCTCTCTCGTCCACCCACCCCTCACCCTCTTCCACTCGCTCCACCTTCACAGCAACTCCACCTTTTGCCCGCGATGCAATCAATTGCGGGGCTCTTGTAAAATTCGCTGCCTTCATATATGCGCGTGTGCGTGTCCTGTGCTTTTGCCGCTGCTGCTGCCGCCGCTGCCACCGCTGCTGCTGTTTTAGGACGGAGCTGACATGGCTGGGCGTCTGCCCGCTTGTGTGGTCGACTGCGGCACGGGGTGAGTGGCCGACTCTGGTGTGACGCGAGGGTGACTTGGTTGCCCATGCGGGGTGTGTGATTGGGCGACTAGGTGGGTCGCCGTCGGTTCTGTTGGTGAAAGGGCGTGAGTGGTTTCGCTCGGGTGGGTGCTTAAGTGAATGGGTGCGTTGGTGGTTGACTCCGTGGATGGTTGTTTCTATGGGTGGGTGAGTGATTGTGTGTTGGTGAGCGACTAGGTGTGTGAGTGTTAGTCGGTGACCGGGTGGGTGACTTCGAATGTGGCTAGTTGGTTGGGTTAGTGTGACAGCATGGGGGGTTGGGCGTGTAGATGTCTGACAGATAGGTGGTTGAGTGTGTGAACGGGTGAGTTGGTGGCTGGGTGAGTGGGTGTGTAGCTGTGTGATTAGGTTGGTTACTCGAGTGGGTTGCACAGTGAATGTCTAGTTGGTCATGGTTGCATGGTAACTTGGTGGCTGAATGAATGTGCAGCTGACCCGAGTGTCTAGTTGTATGGTCAGGTGAATGATTGGGTGCCGAGTGGGTACTTGGGTGGTCAGGGTGATGGGTAGTGCCAGTTGATTGACAGGGTGAAAGATTGGCTGGCTGGGTGTGTCGCTGGTGAGGTTGCTGAGTGAATGACTGGCTGGGTGGCTGGACAGGTGCCTAAATGCGTGGTAAAATGGGTGGCTGAGTAGACTGCTGAATATGTAGAGCCAGGTGGCTGGGTGTGTGGTCAAGTGGGTGACATGACGGTGGCAGCGGAAGATGGGTGGGTGAGAGTGTGGGTGTTTGGGTAAGGGTTTTTTTATGTTTCGAGTTTTTGTTATGGGTGATGGGGAACTGGGTGAGTCGCAGCGTCAGTAAGCAGTCCACAGAACTTGTATGTGCATTTTTGTATGGGCAGGGTATGTGCTGATGTGTGCTCAGTGCAAGGAAACGCTATCTTGACGCAATTACCATGAGCAACACAGGGTAATAGTTTATATGGGTTTGTAAATGTGAATGACGTTTTATTGATATCCTTGAGTAGTGTAAATGACAGAGTGGTTGCATACGAGCGAGAAAGAGTTTGTTGTTATATCTGCATGTCTATTTTTAAGTTTGTGAATATATGTAATGTCTGTAATGTGTGTGAGTGGTGGAGTAGCCTCGTTATTTCTTGCTTTAACATTTATAGAAAAAATTTAGACCAGAAATGTTCCCGTTTGCTGTCAAATGAACATTAATGACTCTGACATTACTTATGAGAGAATGCCATTTCGAACCAGTGTCTTTGATCAGATTGGATAATTGCTGTCAAATACATGTGGTGATGTAATTACCACCAGTTTCTCCCTTGGGTGTTATAGAGTTTCGCTGGCAAAACATGGTCCTCGGTATATTTTGAATTGTTAAATCATCTGCACGTTTCTTTAATAACCCATCTTGTTTCAGTCAGCCTGGATCCTAAAAGCCAAACTACATTATTCAAATAAATAAATACACCATAATTAACACTTCCTTAAAGCTAGAAAAATATATCGTAGGCTAGCAATCTGGATTATGGCTGTTCCTAACATTTAAAAGCAGGCAGACACGCCCTGGCATCAGGTAACCCGGTGCTGCAATGAAAATTGGGCGAGCGCTCGGTTGTGAGACTGTGTGGGAGTTTTTATTAACTTCAGGGTGTGTTGCATTGCCAAAGCAAGCACTCTTTATCAGTCTGCCATCATCTCCCCCACCTCTCTCCTCACACCCCCTCCCTCTAGGCATTCTTATGAAACACAAGTGTTAACCCAGCAGAAGTTGCAAGCATAGTTAATGCCTATTATATTTTTCCAGGAAGGGCTCAATCAGCTTTTATACTTTTTTTTAGGAGGGTCCTGCTTTGGGATGTTTGGCCAATTATATTAATTAGTGTTTGGCATGTGGGAGGGAAACGAAGAACCCTGAGAAAATTCACCATGAGTACAAGGGGGGTAACATCTGCACGCATTCATTCCATTGCTGTACAGTACTTTAATGACATGGCCACCATACAGCCCACGCCTGCAACACTTGGCATTCCCAGACAGTCACCCAGTCCAAGTGACAACCAGCTTTAATTCTGCTGAGCTTACGAGATCTAATGATTGAACGGATTTGGGCGATTTGGTTATAATAGGCTTCCTTCAGCAAGCATCATCCTCAGGTGTCCTTGGCATAAAGCACTCTGGATCCCATGGCTTCTACTCCTGCTCAAAGCCTCTAGGTGGGCAGGTTCCACATTCTTTCTTGCCAGCTAGGTGTGTCCAGGGTAAAGGAATGTGAGGTGTGTTTAGACTGAAGTATTCCCGCAATATCCAGCCAGTTTGTGCGTGCGTTTAGCTATGTGTGCGGAGAGCTGTGGCTTAGTGGTTACCGCCCTCCCCAGCAACCTGAGTTTGATTCCCGAACACACCAGCCAGTTTGTGCGTGCGTTTAGCAGTGTGTGCGGAGAGCTGTGGCTTAGTGGTTACCGCCCTCCCCAGCAACCCAGCAACCTGAGTTTGATTCCCGAACACACCAGCCAGCTTGTGCATGCGTTTAGCTGTGTGTGCGGAGAGCTGTGGCTTAGTGGTTACCGCCCTCCCCAGCAACCGGAGTTTGATTCCCGAACACACCAGCCAGTTTTTGCGTGCGTTTGGGCTGTGGGTGCGTCGAGCTGTGGCTTAGTGGTTACCGCCCTCCCCAGCAACCTGAGTTTGATTCCCGAACACGGCTAAATATGAGTGGCGAGTCATACCTGAACGAGTCCTGGGCCTCCCCTAGGTCGACTCAGCCTTAAACGAGTACATGCTGTGATGTATAAACATCAGCAATGTATGAGACAAAGACGGCCGGGCGTGGTAAAGGCCACACCACCCTCTAGTGCAGTGGTTCTTGACCTTTACTGCTGCCTGCACCCCTTTGCTTCTCAGAATGGGCATCTCACACCCGCAGAGGGTGCGTGCACCCCAGGTTAAGAACCACACCGCTCTCGTGCGTCGTGCCAGCCTTAATAAGTGGTCGCCAACAGCACTTGGGTCAACTGTCTTTGAAGGCTATAAATATGGATCGTTGTGTCTGTGCGTGCGACCTGTGTGTTGTGCTGGCACACCCTTACACCTGAAGTGGCTAAAAGGTTTCTCATTTCATATTGGTGGTCACGCCACATCATTGGTAGCATGCGCAGATGTACTGATTGAAATTAATTCTGATGATCCTGCCATACGCATCAAATTGAGTGTGGGAAGCAATTGTTTTACCTTTCCTGCAAATTATGATTCGCGAATGTTAGCGTTGAGGCTAATGGAGCGAACAAAACTGGACGAACAAGCTCGAACAAACAAGTTGGTATCATGATACCAAAATAACTTTGTAAACTCCGAATCATCACAATTGTATATCTGATAATTATAGACTTACGTGTGTTGGTGTATGCACAATCGTGTACACTGTAGTATTTACTACTATAATGAGCCAAGAATGTATGTGTCCCGCACGTGACGTCACTCCACGTCGACCAGCCCCCCTGATTAATAATCATGAACAGGTTACGTCCTCAAATTTTGACTTAAAACTTGCGTGACTGCAGGAATTCATATTCGATGATTCTTTCGATCAAGTCACGTAGATCGATTTTATTAACCTTATTTTTACTATTTTGTTATTTTTTCTATCTACGTGACTTTACCCAAATAACCATCGAATAGGTTACATCCTCCACATGGACCCCCCCCCTCATTAATAATCATGAGCGGGTGACCTCACTCCACATGGAGAATCCCCCCCCCTTATAATAATGAGCAGGTGACGTCACTCCACATCGAACAGCCCCCCTCATTAATAATCATGAACAGGTGACGTCCTCCAAATGGACACCCCCCCCCCATTAATAATAATTAGCGGGTGACGTCACTCCACATGGGGGGGGGGGGGGGCGAAGCGCATCCTCCCCCCTCCTCAGCGTCAACTCACAACCCTCACTACAAAAGCAGAACCCTCACGTCACGTGATCTCCGTAACGCTATTGAGACATAGAAGTAAAAAGGACGTCATGATGAACAAGTGATTATAACCTTTAAATGAAATAAGTCTGTGTCACCGCGGCCTTGGATATAATGGATATCACGTCGCGTTCTGTGCTTTTTGCTTGCAAGTTTCAGATTTTCTGCAATACACCCGTCCTTGGACGGGCAAAAGGCTAGTTGTAATAATGTCTCACCGCGTTTACTCAAGACAACCGTTGACGTGACCTTTGTAAGAAACTGTAATGTCTCTCCATGAGGTGAATGTTATCTTGGCCGCTTTGGCAAATGTTTACATACACAGACTGTACACATTAGTTGTGTAATGATTTGCCCTACTCCTCCACACAGTGCAATTCCATTGAAGAATCAATGATCTTTTTTTCCCTGCTGGTGCATGTTGCACCTTTGGTGGCTGCAGAGTTTAAAGGGAGCAGTTGCATGAAAATATGCATTAACATTACGTGATCGTTTACATCCCTTTGTCATTGCACTGCTGGATGAAGACCTCCTTGTGCCATGTCAGCCATGTGGGATGTTTGACCATACTACGCCACACTGGTCAGTCTAGATTGGTGAATGGAGAGGTACCAGTTCAGTTATCACCCACCATTGATGTTTGCTGTGGCCAGGAATCAAACTAAGCTCTCTGGGCTCATAGCACAGTGTACCATCCACTGCACCTTCTATCCCGCCTTGTAAAACATAACGGAATTGAAAATAATTAATTCTTGCATGCACAATTCGACGCATCCATCCCAAGTGTAAGAATCAATTTTTATTGATGTATCATTCACATGCTAAACACACACATGACCTTAGAACCATCGACACCAACTTCATCTAACATTGTCAATATACAATCGGCAGTAATGAAAATAAGGGCCAGTTTTCACTGTTCAGCATACTGTGCGTCTCAGCCAATGGACCATCCTTACCTTCAGAATCATGTTACCTGGCAGCTCGTGATAAAGCCGAGCACTAACTCGTGCCTCTGTGCCAACAACTCCTGTCCCATTGCATGGCTGCTTTGGGTTAAAAGTACGTGTATCGTCTCATTCATTGAATCATGTCAAATTTGCTTTAAAAATTTAAACAAAAACTATCTGTGCGTTGTTCATGGATTATTAGTCACTTTTGAGACCATACCATTGTTTTTTTAGCCAATTTAGAGCCCTTTTTTCAACTCACTGCTCTTTTAGTGGGGTGGGGAAGCAGGACTCGATATCAGTCGTCACTCACGTGAGTCATGACTGAGCTCACATAGTGCAGTTGTGCTAACCACTGTGCCATCACTTTACCTATTTTTGTGCCATTACCCCCACTTTAATTTGTATCTTGACTTTCATTTGTATTTTAGGTTGTACTTCATTGTTCTTTGAATTGCTTTTATTGCGTATAGTTTTTTTTTCCTCCCGATACTATTCCGTATTTACCCAGGTCTCTTAAAAATCTTGGCTATTACCTGCTTGTAGATAAAGTTCACGTATGACTGTATGACGCGCCTGTCGCTGACACACTTGAGGACTTTTGTGCTGAACAGTTCCCTGAACTTGTCACCCAACCGCACACTGTATCTATAGCCCTAGAATGTATTTCCTGTATAGAAGCTTTAGATTTAGAAAACTAAGGCAACCCTGCTTGGCAGATGAAAATTTGAGATTATGAAGGAACTAATGAGTACAGTTCTGGTACAGTACTCCATGCACAATTATACTCGACATGTATGGGGTAATGCTTGGGTATTTTTTTATATATATTGTGATTTTACGCTGCAATTTGACTTGCTTTATTAACTCAACTTTTTAACACGAGCTAAATATTTTATGACATTTTCCGGCTGTTGATTTCCATTGCCATGCATTAAAATAAATACCAGCCGCCCGTCCTGCTGTGCCTGGGCTAGGTGTACTCAATACACCTACATTTTTAATTGCTGATAATTGCCAAAGCAGTTCGCGTTCACCGAAATGGCCGTATTTTTGTGGTCCCCCTGCTGTTTTTGTCTTCCTAACGGTACAGTGTTTTGTTGTATATAAGCATTGTAATTGTTTGAAGTCGGCTACCAACTTAGGTTGAGCCGGTGAATTTTTACGGCATTCGCCAGACTCCACAGGATCTAATCCCAATTATGGGCATTTGATTCTGTTCACAATCAGAGGTGCATTACCATTCCTCTTTGCCATGTCAACACTGGCACATGTCTGCAAAACCACTTGTCGGCACAGCTGGGTACAGCTGCGTAGGGCGCGTAGCATGGAGAGCTCATGACTCAGCCAGCCCAGCTGCCACCACCAAACGTTCCATCTTGCTTAGTCTCCCTCCCTGGCCCACGGGGAGGGAATTGCATAAGTGCCGTTGACTTCAGGGAACTCAATTCTGCTGGGAAAATTGGTGAAACTGTGGGAAGCTGCTGGGAATTTGTCAACTCCACTGAGGAGCATTGGTTATGCGGGACAGGGAAATGATTGTCCTTCCTTGCCTGAGGCTGTTGCTGTTGGTTGGGGTGGGTGACCCACTCTGCAGATATTTAACACAGATCACATAATGGGGAAGCTGAAGGCATGTTGAAATTTGGCCTGGAAGTACCACACCGTGCGGTTATGAAGCTGCAGGTTCTCCTTGTGTCTTCCGAGTTTGTGTGGCTAACATACACGCAGCTTTGCGAACAGCGCGGGAAATGAAAGTGTTCTGCCACCATCGCATGCAAATGCTATACTCTTATTAAATGTAAAAAAATGTCAGACATAACAAAGCTTGAGACTGTCTGCTGCTGTGAAACAAGAAGCACTTGTCTTCCCTTTCCCTGTGCTTATAACGTTAAAACTTAAGTGTAATAGAAACACACGCACTATATTTGTATTGTTCAATTATATTTAACCATTTTGTATTGTATACAGGCGTGTCACATTTAAAGGGTGAAACTCTAGTCAATTAGTGTTTTTTTTATTGACACCGTTTACCATGATGGCGTGAGATTCGGTTGTATTTATACTGTATGCATTTAAATTGAATTGTGATGAATCCTAAGAATTTTCAGGAATATGTTTATGTGACATGCTGTGTTTTAATATGCACTCTTGTGTTTCAGGTACACAAAACTGGGTTATGCCGGCAACACGGAGCCACAGTTTATCATCCCATCATGTGAGAACGTTGGTGTATTTCACATTCACTGCCGTCATATGCAATATTTCAGGAGCCACAATGCAATGTGAATACGACATGGTCCTTAATAAATAACGTCACAAAGCAGTCCTTAAAGAGCCGAAGGTGGCCGACCCCTGCACATGGTAAACTGGACTTCCATGGTGGACTGGATTTCCCATGGTAAACTGGGCTCCCATGGTAAACTGGGCTTAGAGCCGTATGCGGCTCCGGAGCCACAGTTTGTTGACCCGAGGTAATGGACAAAACCCAGTCCATCCAACATAATTTTGAATTGGACTGAGTGCAAAGCTTCCTAGGAGGATCTGTTCCAAACGTGTGGAGAACAGATGGCAAGTGTCATTCCCTCTGCTCATGAAAGATTTATACAACTTTGAAAGTTAAAAGTTAAGGGAACAAAATGGTTTAGGTCATACTGTGTTTTAACGTAGGGAGACATAAGACAATTGTTAGAATGCAAAAAGTTGGGCGATGTATATATTAATTTGAAATTAGTCTGAAAGGACTCAATATAATGTAGTAGGCAGTTAATAATTCACATTTCTGTCGGGTTTCAGTATCACGCGTCAAGAATTGATTATTTTTCTTCCTATTTTACAGTTTGAATCATACACCCTGATTTTATGCACATATGCATGTAGGCAAATTGTTACATGCCTGTAGATTGAGAGTCATGCAGCTGACACCCAAGTCAGAGGCATTTTCTCACCAGAGCTTCCTCTAATATGAGCACTGTCGCAAACTCACATGCTGGGTGTTCTCATCATGAATGCTGGCTGTTCTTGTCGGGTCTCAAGCTAAGCAGGGGTGAGTCGAATTAGTCCGTAGATGGGAGATTGTCTGGGAATACTGGGTGTTATCGGCTTGTTGTGAGGAGGCCAGGAGATGGCAGTATTGCAATGTTTAAAAAAATATATATATCTCTGCGGAGTGCTGATGTGGAGATGGCCTAAGACAGGAAGAAGTGGAGGAGGAGGACCAGGAAGGTAAATGCCCTGCATGAGCGAGGAAAATGTCAAGAAGAAGATGATGATACTACGTGTGTGTACGTGTGCATCTACGTGCAGGCATCGCCATCAAGGAGTCAGCAAAGGTGGGCGACCAGTCCCAGAGGAGGGTGATGAAGGGCGTGGATGACCTGGACTTCTTCATCGGAGACGAGGCCATCGAGAAGCCGAACTATGCCACCAAGGCATGCGCGCCCATCCAGCAGATTTTACACACACTCGGTCGTTTTTTTTTACTTGAGTTCACTGGCTTCTTGTTTTTTGTGCATTAACACTGAACCATAAGGGTTATAAAACATATCTTATTGTAGCCCTATGAGCTGTATTCATTAATATTGAACCCTAAGGATCCTAAAGGTATATTAGTGTTGCCATATCAGGTTTGGACCTTTTAGCCAAACCATAACAATCCTGAGCGCACCTTATTGTGGTTCCATGGGCCTTGGGTGTTAATACTGAACCATGTGATTGCTAGAGGTGGAATTGTCTGGTAGTCTGGCTCTGTGTTATTGACTGTCTATGAATGTACTGTGTCTGCTAATTTTACCCACCTCGCTATTGGAGTGTGTATACGTAGGAAACATTTCTGAAAATGTAATATTATCTACCGTCTAATATCTACCGGATGTTGACATCTCGGAGTGCTTGACTTACGGGTCACCGACTTAACTTAAATACTCATTGAGATATAACCAGTCTATCACTACTACTTTCGATTTAAAGCTAACGTGACTGCCGGGATTCATATTCTTGGTTATTTCGGTAAAGTCACGTAGAAGTGAAATAATAAAATAAAAAAAATATTAAATTCTCACGACGATTCGGCCACAATGCAAGCAGCCGTCCTCAGGTGAAGAAACAGCTGTCAGAAAGACAGCGTCTTATATTATGTTTTATTTTTTTATTATTTCCCTTCTACGTGACTTTACTGACAGAACCAAGAATATCACTACTACTGTTAGGTGTGATGTCTATCTCTTTATACATGTACCAGTATTAACATTCAAGTCAAGACACGTGTTGTCATTGTACGCAAACGAGTGTGTGCTTGGAATTAGTCTTGAATTATATAAACTAAAGCTTCACCTGCTGGCTTCAGTGTGCAAGCTACTTAAGCCCAGTTAAAGTGGATATTGAGTTAAATATTTGTCTTCTATATGACCATAGTTCTGTATTGGCATATGCCTCTATTCAGGCGATCTTTTTAAAATGCAATCACATGTGCAACTATTTAAAAAAACACACATTTAAACATGACTCAATTTCTTGGAATATATGTGGGGCTATTTGAGTTCAGTTGAGACTTGCATAAACACTTCTGGAAAACTGGCAGCCGGTACTGTGTGGGCAGTTTTACGAAGTCGACACTTCTGCAGCCAGAGAAGGAATGTTAAATTTGTCTTTCCTTCGTCTGGCTCTCTGTTATGACCATTCTTAGATGTTAGTTGTGGAAAACCATCTCATATTTAAGGAGCACATAATCACTCGCCTCCCTGTTACTTTTTTATAGTTTTCTCCCACAATCATTGTTCCCACGCACTGCACAACTTGATACGTTTGCCATTATCAAGGACCCAAGGACCTTTTCTACCAGATTAACTGCCATCACATCCATACTGCATTCAGTGACTACACTGTAGAGTATAATCATTTTATTTCTTTATGCACACTGCTTGACTTTTGAACTGCTCCAGTTCGTAACTCTCCTAAATTTTCTATTCCCCAATTCCCGTAACGTCTTTCACCTTGAAAAACATGTTTTTTCTTATCTGCTGTACTCGCAATACTGCCGTCTCTTGCTGGCTACATTGCTGTTCCAAGGCTTTTGCCCTATGTTGAACAGCTTTGATTAAAAACAACACTGAATGCGTTTGTCTGTTGATAACAGTGGCCCATCCGACATGGCATGGTGGAGGACTGGGACCTGATGGAGAGGTTTATGGAGCAGATCATCTTCAAGTACCTCCGAGCCGAGCCTGAGGACCACTACTTCCTCCTGGTGAGCGGTTCGGGATGACTGCCGAATCGCACTCTCACTCCCACGGCCAACAATTTATACACACATATTTTTAAATAGCGCTAGCACAGCTTTATTTATGTAAACTGTTCCTGTAAGAAAATGCCAAGCTGCTCAATGCTGTATGTTTCCTGTATTGAATTTTTATTTTTCTGTAGCCAGATTTCAAGTTTGGTAAACACGGAACTATTTAATACTAAACCATTTGCTGTGTTCACAAATGTCAGGGCTTTTATCAAGATCCCAAAAAAACACATTCTTAGCTTGTTTTCAGTTGAGGACTCAGCCTCAGTTTTTGGTCCAGCAATTGCTTTGTTTTGCAGGCCACATGACAGGGCAAGACAATGACCTGTTTACGTAACTTGTTTTCTTTTCTTCTGAAAAGAAACAATGCACATTTGCATGATTTAATCTTTAATCTGGATATTCCCTGGTCAGCACACTTTACCACAGATGAGTCATACTTATCACCTCCGCAGCATGTTTGGACCCACACAGAGGGTTTTCTGCGTGGAATTGTGCGTGTGTTTTTTTTTTTAAGAATTTTACAACTGCTAAGAATTTATTATTATTTTTTTTATTTAGAAAATGTCACTTCTGCACAGTGACTGCATAAGGGCATTTCCCAACGCAAGCAGGCCACAGCTAGTCAACGTGGGCAGGTTGAGGCCTGCTGCAATTCTGTAACTTCAACCTCCTGGCCGCAAGGCTTACCCAACGATATTTCTCGTGGAAACAGTGCCCCTGGGTTGCCGGCAATGTTGTCTTGCCGTTAATCGAGGTGTTGGTATGTACAGCTGCCTGCCCATAGCCCGTTTGCGAGCGTGAGCTTGCGTCGCCCCAAACTTGTTTTCAGCACCTGCTTATTCTCGCTGTGTCCCCTCCCCCCCAACCCATGGACACCGCCCATGCAAAGCCCTTGCTTACAATGGGTATCGTAAAATCCCTCCTTTTGTTTTGGTGTCCTGTATTTTGTAAACAAATGCTTTCGTGCCCTATGATTACAAATGTTAAATAGGTTGTAATATTTACGTTTTTGTTTTGTCAAGCAGGCAGCACTGTTATTTAGTGCACTCCTAGATGGTGAAAATAGGTGTCACAGGAACCAATATGCATTCAACATGACATAATATAACCACGTATTAATGAGTCTAATTAATTAATTATGCATCTTTTCACGACTACCAGGAGCGTTATGTCGAAAAGTGAAACAAATCATCGTGGATGGTTCACAAATTTGGTAGTTTTTTGCCCTGACACCTGTACCCAACAGGCGACTTACTATTGGGAATAATGATATCATGGTTTTTTTGCACCTTTACAGCACATGAGTACTTTGGTAATTCCCCAGAGAAATCATCGGGTGACTGCAGGAACTATGTTATCGACTCAAAGTGACTCATGGGCGTATGTGCTCGTTAACAGCATAGCCATCTCTCACATGTGTACATAAAATGTAATAATAATCAAATAGTGGACAAGGGTGTTATTCGCTATGTAAAAATCTGATAACATTTTGACCCATTGGGCCAATGTTTTCCAGCAGCAGCATTTGTTTAAGTAGGCAAACTGGTCCGTATTGCCTATCCAAGTCTTAATGCTTTGCTGTTATGACTAATTACCCATAAGTTGTCACAACACCATAACGAATATTGCACAATTACAGACTCTACCGGATATTTCATGAGAAGAATAAAGCAAGGTGTTAGTGACGCACGATGTCACAAGTCGACACGCTTCCACCTTTGTTCACGTAGCGCACATGAATCTCTCCCATCTCAAGTCACTATTGGTGGAAAGCACGATTACTTCTAGAGCCCATAGTTTACAGAGATTATTATAATTGGTGTATTGTTGCCCTTAGCCACTGCCAAACTCTCCACATTGATTAGGGAGGGCTTGCTCATTAAAAGCACCTTGAGGCACAGAACAGTAATAGGCTATGATGGTTATACTCTACTGATGGCTCCTAACAAATATTACATTTTTATATAATTATCTCATTGTCCTGCTACGGTCTAAAATAATGGCCTAAATTTTGCTTCTTTGGAGTTGGTATGCATTATACACGTGATAAGGTGATGTTACTTGACATGCAAAGCATGATGGTAAGAACGATCCAATGATCAAGGTGGCGTCTAGAAGCCGCCTTTTGTGTGTGTATTACTGGACTCTTATTGCATCCTGCATACACTTTTCCGTTGCAGCCCGCGCGCGCAGGGAGAATTGTAACTGGTTCACTGTCGTTAGACCTCCTTTGCCAGTACCAATATATCATAATATGGGTTTTCCCTTTTTTTCTGGCAACAAAACTGAAACCTTTTTACAAGGATTCATATCTGCATTAACCACAATACCTGCAGTCAAAATGCAAACAAAAACATACTATGATAATATATGCATTGTCCTTAAAAACTGATTGGTCCAGACAAAGAAAGCCGTCCCTTGGTCTGGGCCAATCAGTTTCAAGGACAATGCATATATTATCATAGTATGTTTTTGTTTGCATTTTGACTGCAGGTATTGTGGTTAATGCAGATATGAATCCTTGTAAAAAGGTTTCAGTTTTGTTGCCAGAAAAAAAGGGAAAACCCATATTATGGTTCCCTGTCGGTTTGTTCTGAGAGGGCGGTGATGGTTGGCGTCTGCTACACTGTTGAGGCAGGAGGTAGCAGGGTGGGACCGGTTAAGCTGCAGCGCCAGCAGACGCCGTCCACCTGTGCCGTAGTTTTGGGTGTGTCGCTTAGTCGCCGGGGGCTGGCACGCTGGCCCAGTGCGGTTTCGTAACTGTGCCGAACCAACAGTGGCAGGGCCGACGCAGGAAGGCAGAAAACCACACACGATGCCGTTTCTGTAAAGGCCCCAGATTAACAGAGCTTCCCCCTGCCAGGATCGGTAATTTCCACTATTTGCCATTTCCTTATGAATTCCCGTAAAGAAATGTCTCATATGCCTTATGTAGTGCACATTTATGTACCGGGTGTATTTCTACAATGTCTTGTTGCCCTGTCTTATCAGTAACATGCAATTTAGTGGAAGTGAAAGTCACGTTCTGTTAATTCATTTAATTGTATGTTAATGTAAAACACAAATGAAGATGATAGGTCGCTGGTCGAAATCTCACACCATCATGGCATTTAGAGCTTTAATTTAATGCTATTGGCGAGAGGATCATTGTGTCAACCAAAACATTTATTAAAATTGATTTTCACGCTTGAGATGTGTAAATAAAATGTCGCTTGTAAAACATTCATAATAAAGGGTTTTTTTGTTAGATCGCGTAAATATATAAATGTGTATTTAAAACCAGCCACCACCCAACAGCCAACTCGTAAGGGTTGTCACGTGAACAGAACATGTCAATTCGTCACTAGTACAGCACACCGGTGTGATGGAGAGCCATTCTTGTTGTCATGACATCTGCAGCCACCAGAGGCGCTACATTCCTTCTAGAGGAAGGCTTCGCCGAACGTGGTGGTGATGTTTCTGCTATGCGCAGTTTGTACACTCATTGTGATGAGAAGCACTGATTATATTATGCTTCTCGGAAGGGTTAGGTATCTGTATCTGCCATTGTATTTAGTGACTCACGTTCGATTCTCAGCCTCAACTAACAGCAATGGCAATAACAGAAGTAGTCCCGGCACCTTCCACTCACACCTTCCAAGAACTCGCCACCTTATTCTGACCTGCGTGGTGAAGTATGGTCAAATAACCTCCATGTCTGACATGGTGTGCCAAGGCCTTCATCCAGCAGTTAATTGACAAAGGTCTGTTAATTATATTATTATTATTATTATTGAAAAAATAAGTTACCAAGGCATAAAAGGACAGTTGAGACCTCCTATACAGTGATAGCAGCATCATTTTGTGTTCATATGTAAAGAAAAATTACCCTTAATTACCACGAACTGTCGTGTAATTTCATGTCACGGTTAATTATGCATGGTTGCCGGTGTAATACAGACGGAACCACCACTCAACACCCCAGAGAACAGAGAGTACACGGCAGAGATCATGTTCGAGTCCTTCAACGTGCCGGGTCTCTACATTGCCGTGCAGGTAAGTGTCCCTCTGCTGCACCTCCGATTAGCACGTTTGGCTATGTACAGTGCGAAATAAGTTAAACATACATACAAGCAGAGCCGACAGGAGTGTCATCTTCCTGTTAATTTGCTTTAATTTCCGCTCCCCACAGCTGCTAAACTGCAATCCTGACACAACGACCCCTCTGAGACACCAAATCGAATTTATCTGCTTCTGTCTTCTCCCAACACCTTTTTTATTTGGTTTGGACATTAACATAAATTCAGCCCAATTTTCTCATTCCCCCGGGTATGTTCTCTCTAGCAAGTGAATGGACGTACGAGTGATTGCACGTGTTATCATGTCGGCATTTTTGGTAGACCTTCCCCTTTTATTTTTTATCATTGCTATAGCATATTTAATAAATTCACTGCAGGAAATAATACAGTTGTTGGTTTAAGGGGAAGTGTTGGCGTTTCACTTGATGGAACCAGTGATTGAGATTAACAATGCAATGGCAGCCAAAGGGGTAACACACCCAAGAGGTAATTCACTGTCGAGATGAGGCGATGCAATCGCCTCGTGTGCAGGAGCTGGATGGATTGTTGCCTCTTGATATGGTGAGAAATGACAGTGGTATAGGGAGGCTTTCATCCAGCAGTGGGTAGCTCATGGCTGATGACGAAATTCGCTGACTGGTATTTTTTTTCAACGGGTTTTATTTTTATGGGTGTGGTTGTGTTTGCACGGGTGTGGTTTGCACCAAACGTAGTTGAGTAAATTGGTGCGGCTCTGTTAAGTGTGGCTGTGCGGGTGTGCCATAGTGGGTGGGTACGGCTGCAGTGCATTGTTGTCGTATAGGAAGGAGCCTGTGGGACAATGCGGTATTGCATGGTTCGTTTGCGTGGTATGTAACTGTTGGGGTGAATGCTGCTTTGCATGATCAAATTCATCTTTCCGAAAGCACTCCAGTATACCCTTCTCCACCTCTTTATTTCATCATTTAGATACGGGGACCACCTTTAATAACCATCCCAGGCACACATGTTCCTAGGTGTGTCTGTGTCGTGATGCGCACCTATGTTAATGGGTTCGGTTGCCCCTCTTACCCGCCGTCCCAACGCGGCACGTGTTTTTCAGGCAGTGCTGGCACTGGCTGCGTCGTGGACGTCAAGGCAAGTGGGTGAGCGCACGCTCACGGGGACTGTGATCGACAGCGGAGACGGCGTCACCCACGTCATCCCCGTCGTGAGTAGCGCCATGCTTGAGTCGTGGGTTCAATCGGACACAGCCACTCGGTGAAATCCATTTTCTTTACAGCAGGAATGGAGAACCTCTGGCTCACAGCCTGGAAACCGCCTGCAAATAATTTGTATTGTGACCCGCGGCCACATGCTTCTTTGCTGCACTAATCGGCGATGAGAGTGAAATATTTTTAACCTGGCAACAACATTGTTTTCAATTTTAGTGAACTCAGTTGCTTCTGCCACTGCAATAGGCCTCTTGCGGTAACATAAGTGACTGAGGTATGCGTGTGTTATTGTGTGTAGGACCACCAATTAATATTTTTTTGAAATCCTATTCAGCCCATACTTGACCTGTGGCTTGTTTAGAAGCTATTTGGATTCCACTTGCTTTGGATGGAAATTGTAAAATGCATAATCAGAAAGACACTAAGTGTATGCATGTGTTTTTTAAATTGTGTTTTGAGTGCCACGTTTGTGTACACACATTCAGTACACTGCATGTATAGTTAATGATACCCTTCCAGGCTGCACTAAGCCTGGAAGCGTATTATTAAGAAGTACATATTACAATTCCTTATAGAGGAATCACATACTAATTAACTGATTACGAATCTATTATATAATTACAATACCCCCCCCGCCACCTCCCCCTCTGATCTCGAAACCTAACGGGGTTCAATGATGACGTCGTCCTGCACTATTTAAGGCCGGAAGCAGGTGGATGGCTTCACTATTCTGGCAAATGGCCCGAAGATGCTGGATGTAATTTCCAGCGAAACGTCGTACTCCAATTGTAAATGTTGTGGACTCACTCTTCAAACACACCGGTGGGCTGAAGAAGTAGCTAATTGGCGTTTTGTTAACGTGACACGTCTTACTGATTGGCCTTGTCGGGTGGTGAAGGGTTGCGATACATTTATGCTTACGCAGTCTAACACAATACCTTTATTATTAATTAATCTATACATACTTGATATGAAGATGGAAGAGTTTTGCATGTAATTAGCTAATGTTTATTACCCCTTCTTAGAGCTTTTTTTTTTTGCCGTGGTCATCCCTAAATTCTCGGGCGTTAGTGAAGTGACGAGAATCTGTATGCGCGTTGCGAGCCAGGCGGAGGGGTATGTCATCGGGAGCTGCATCAAGCACATCCCCATCGCCGGCCGCGACATCACCTACTTCATCCAGCAGCTGCTACGCGAGCGGGAGGTGGGGATTCCGCCAGAGCAGTCGCTGGAGACTGCCAAGGTCATCAAGGTACTTGATCTCACGCAGGACAATGCGCACGTGGGTACGGCATGTGCCACGGAGCAAACCCACCTCTCGTCGTGTTATAAGAACGCGTAACCCAAGAGCACGACCACCGTTATCTCTTTTTAACATGGGTATGTGACGGTTAAATGTATTTTTACGTTCACGTTGGGGTGTGCCGGTGATGCAATGGTTGGCACACTTAGCTATGCACCTGGTGACCCGAGTTTTAATTCCGGACATGGCAAACTTCAATGTTCAGTGTTATCTGAACCGTTCCTGGTTCTCCCACTTCATTCACCAACCGTCGCTGACCAGCGTGGTGAAGTATGGCATGTTACATTCACCATCGTGGCGTGAAAAAACGTTCATCTAGCAGTGGATTTACAGAGCTGTGAATTTTATACTGTTGATATATCATCCATTGAACCGTTCATTTAAGAATTGGTCAAATTCAATGTGTTTAAATTGTGTGCAAATTTATCCTTAAAGAAAATATTCTGAACAAATGAGACAACGTTTAGCATGGCAGTAATTCCAAAGTAATATTACTCAAGATTTGCTTGTTAACGCAGCTTAAAACTTATTTTAGCGCAGCTTAAAACTTCCTTTTTATACAGCCTGGGGTACGTGTGTACAAAACTATAACAGTTCTTTTACTGGCTTGTGTGTATTAAAAGGCACATGGAGAGCTTTAATAGTGGCCAATATAAGAGGTGCATTATTGGACACCGACATGTGGATTGATGTCGAATAGTTTATTGGCTGTGGATTGAACCTTGATATTTTTTCTTGTGGTTCACATTGAACCCATTGGTTGAAGATGGGATAGTCACTGCATGGCAATGAAAATCATATTTACAACACATTCCTGCGGAGGGAGCTGGTAGGAACGTTGGGTTGCTCGGTCAATGGCCAGGGTCAACGGCGGCACCACGTGGTGTATTCCGCAAATATGCCCGACTGTGACGGCGGGCACAAGCCGGCGTGAGTAGGTTAAACGTTGAGTTTTATAAGGGCACCACGGGTGACCAGCCCCTCCCCACCCAGCCCCACCCTCCCCACCCTCCCCTCCCCACCCAGCCCTACCCTCCTCACCCAGCCCCTCCCCACCCTCCCCTCCCCACCCTCCCCATCCAGCCCCTTCCTCCCCACCCAGCCCCACCCTCCCCACCCAGCCCCACCCTCCCCACCCAGCCCCTCCCCACCCAGCCCTACCCTCCTCACCCAGCCCCTCCCCACCCTCCCCTCCCCATCCAGCCCCTTCCTCCCCACCCAGCCGCTCCCCACCCTCCCCTCTCCACCCAGCCCCACCCCTCCCATTTTTGGATGCACGACGGATGGACACAATAATCACCTGTGGGCTGGTGTAACCAGTGTAACCAGGAGGTTCCTACCAGTATAAACTGATAGTGACTTACCTGCTTTACTTTCTCTTGAAGATCATCTTGTAGACCTGCATGCGATTGGGCTGGGTGTCTCTGAAATGATTCATGGATGATATGCCTAATCAGCATGCATCTGCCAATGGAACGCCACTGCTAAATGTTATGACCGCTCTTATATTTATTGGTGTTATTATCTCAGTAGTTTTTATTTTTAATACCGATGTTGCTTCCTTCACCAGGAGCGCTTCTCCTACATCTGCCCGGACATTGTCAAAGAGTTCAACAAGTTTGACTCGGACCCTGGCAAGTGGATGAAGCAGTACACCGGTGTCAACGCCATCACCAAGAAGGAGTTCACCATCGACGTGGGTTACGAGCGCTTCCTGGGGCCCGAGATCTTCTTTCACCCGGAGGTCGGTGGGAGACGGGGTTTGGGGGGGACTTTAGAGACACACTCCCTATTAGTGTCATCCTCTTTCTAGAGGGTTGTCGATGAGCATCACCTCTCTACGCGTCTCTCTCTCCTCCGTCGTTAATCTGCATTTGCGCTACACGCTCTCTTTGGGTAAATATGATGGTGGTTCCCCTTGTTCCTCCTGTCTCGGAGTATGGAAGCCATGCATCAGATGCTCTGGATAATTACCTCCTAGATATACACCTCACCTCAGAAATCCCTGTATATAATCACATTTTCAATGCCTTGTTAAAATGTCATGCCATAGCCTGTTAGATGGATACCAAAGACATTTTACCATCTGTCTTGGACCCAGGACTGCGCCCTTGTGTTAAACTATGTTTCAGTTGAATATGAATACATAAATATGATTATAATGGATTATAAAGTGTATTGATCCATAATAGAGGTTTTTTTTGGGTTAGATCACGTAAAGATAAATGTATCGTTAAACCCACCACAACCCGACACAGCTAATTAGTAAGGTTTGTCACGTAAACAAAACGTGCCAATTCGTTACTGGTTGAGCACGCTGGTGTGTTGGAGAGTAAACCCACAACATTCAGAATTCGAGTACAACGTTTAGCTGGTAATTGTAACCATCCTCATCGGGTGACTGCCAGAAGTACGCAATCTAACCCAAAAAAAGCTGTTGTGGATAATATTGGTCGCGTAAGCCTCCTCTGTGTTGAAGTGTAATGAGTTATTGGTCTCGGCCCAATTACCAATGGCTACAAAAAACACTTACATTTTTGCCACGTACTCTGGCTGCATTCCAACTTCAAGAGTGTATCAAACATTTCCCTGTAGCAAAAGGCGACTCCAGAGAATTTCTTAAAGAAGTGGTGATTACGCTCCAACGCATGGAGCGGTGACCTGCTCTGCGTGAGTTCCAAGTCTCAAGGCTTGATGCTGATAGCAGGATTGGAACAATATTTGTAAAAAGAGACAAAAACCTAAATAAACAGCCATGCAGGTCAGCTGTTTTACAAACAGGCTGTACAGACGGCATTGTTACAATTCGTCGCTGTAGCCTTATTCACTGCTATGTCGAACACATTCATCACTGCCCCCTTTTCACGTCCCACCTTGTGTGCACACGCATTCATGATCAATCATTCAGTGGCAATGAAACGAGTAATAACTGGTGCGTGGGTAATGAGGTAAGAAGCACATTTATCACACAAAGTGCCTTCTGAATGTGAATTGCCTCGTTAAGTAGACCTTAATCTGTTTGGTGGATATTTTTTGCATTAATCTCTACTAGAATTGTTATGTTTCACTGCAAAAAGGTCAAAAATATACCCCAATAGGTTTCCACCTGTCTAAATAAAGGACCTTGCATTGAACTAAATAAATGCATTCCATCGGCTGCTCAGAAAGCACCAGCACCAGGAGACTGCATTTACTAAATGCAGCAGCGGATAGAGCAAGGACACATCCGAGCGCTGTGTGGCCTCTCGCGCTCCCGCAATGAAACGATCCACCCAGCACTTGCACACGAGTCGATTTCATCACTCCGTCTTCCCTTCTTTGGCTGCCCATCCGTAGTTAGTCTCGACCGCAATCCATCAACAATCCCTTCTGGCGATGTCTTCTTATCAATCCCCACTTGATGGACTATTGTAAAGAAATCTTATCTTATCTTAAACGAATTTATATAGCGCTTTATCCAAGGCGCATTACACAGAATTCACAATAGTACATATGAATTTAAAGGTGGAGATGAAGTGAATTCAATAGATGAGAGAAAGCAATGGGCAAATCTGTAATGCTTGTATTCAGTGAAAGTGACATTGATGACAGTAAATGATGATGAATGGATTGTATTATGGGAAATGAGTGAAAACCATGTAATGAGAATATGAAGAGGGAAAATTAACAGTAGCGGTTATGAGGGGGCGATTAAGGGGTCGTGGGGTGAGCCAGGGATAATAAGTGATTTTTGAGTGCAGAGCGGAAACTAGTGAGCGAATATGTAATGTGGAGAGGAAGTTTGTTCCAGTGAAGGGGGCAAGAAGAGAAAAAGAGCAAAAGCAGGGATTGAACGCGACCATAAGGAGGAATAGAGATTGATTATCATCGTGTACAATCTGTGCTTGGCTGTTGGTTAGGAATGCTCCTTGGTGGCACCCGCTTTGCATTTTGATGCGAGTCCGTGGGAGCTGTCGCGTTGTGTGCGGTGCACGTGGTTGGAACAGCAGGTGGAGCTGTAGACGCGCGGCTCAATCGGCTGTGCCCGCAGGGGCACTTTTGAGCCCCACACCAATTATCACATCAAACGGGCGCCAATCAATAAGCAACAAAGAAAACGACACGGACAAATTAATTTATATTTGCAACGTTTATTTATTTCTTTTTTATTGACGTTCATATATAATCTCAGAGTGGTCTAAGCGGTTTCCCATTACATTAGCTTTGGATGACGATCGTCTTCCCCTTTGTGGAAGATCCACATTCCTATGGGAGGAATGTGTGTGTGTTTGTAGGGGAGCCACTATATCTCAATATGGTGGGGTTTTTATATCTACATTTTTTGTTGTTGAAGCATAAACACACGTACATCCAACATCTCAACCAATGATTTGCATCTTCAAAGTGACATTTGAAATGTCAATATTTACAGTGCAGCTTCACATTATTCATAAATAAAAAAATATGTGAGGACTGAAATGAATGGAGGGAAATGTAATATGTTGCATTCAGCAATCATTACACTGATCTGCATTGAGAAATTTAAAAAACCACTAGTCACTGACATTATACCTTAACTTTTGTTAAGATTTGGGCACCCACAGTTGTGTTAATTCTTGCATCTGGTTGATCATTGTTAAACCGCTTGCCGACGATCCCTGCAGATGTACGCATGAATATGTGTGCGGCAGCCTGTGTTCAGCAGTGCAGTTTGTGTGTTCAGCAGTGCAGTCTGTGTGTTCAGCAGTGCAGTCTGTGTGTTCAGCAGTGCAGTCTGTGTGTTCAGCAGTGCAGTCTGTGTGTTCAGCAGTGCAGTCTGTGTGTTCACGGCTCAGTAAATTGTGGTCCCTTTATAATCCTCTTTAACTAAGCTTTCTCACACCCCAGCCCTTGCTACCCCCCACGGTGTAGCTTTCCTTGATTACCAATATTTTCCATTCACATGCAAATCACCTGGAACGTGCCCGATCTGATCAGATATCAGAAGTTTAGCAGGTTTGAGCCTGGATATTGCTTGGATGGGTGACTGCTGTGGATTAAACACAGTTTTCACGGGCTACTGTGGGGCTACCTTGCCAGCGGAGGTTGGTGCATAAATATCCGTGCTCTAAAGTCTGTGCTCCCCGCTTTCACCAACCCACACTGACCAGCGGAGTGAAGCATGGTCAAATTACCTGGGGCGGTGACACGGTGACACAGTCTCGCGGGAGCATGCTCGCCGCTTGTTGCAGAGGTTCCACGATTCGTTCCCGCGGCTGCCCTAATTAATAGTGCGGTTCTAGCAGCCACGTTAATACTTTGTGCCGTCTAATTTTTTTCAGACGTTAAAGATTCCCTGTCCTCATTCGCAAGAAGGGGCCATTGTGTGCTGGCATCACGGTCCAAATTACCAAAATTCTAAAATCACACGAACAAAAATTACTCAGTTAGAATTATACGTAGCAATAATCACTTTCTACTGGCAGACGAATGCCCCAGGTCACTCTTACAATTGAGACTCATGATAGTCAGTAATCACGGAAAACCTGCGATTACTCCAGCAGTCTTACGCGCTTCGCTTGTTGCACACAGTAGTCCTATGCGGGGCAGGTGTTTACATCATGATGTACGTTTCCTGAATATCAGAACATACTGCATAACAACAAAGGGGCATGCCGAATTGCTTGCTTGTAGAAAAGGCAGCGGGTCTAGATGTGTGTTAACCCTGGCGTACGGATGATCCAGGGTTGAATGACGCTATCGCCGGTTGCCGACCCCCCTACCATTCCTCCTCCCCCCCTCTTCCCACAGTTCTGCAACCCCGACTTCACGCAGCCCATCTCTGAGGTTGTGGACGATGTCATCCAGAACTGCCCCATCGACGTGCGCCGGCCTCTCTACAAGGTTCGTGCTTCCACACGGCCCCTGTGAGCGATTTGGCTGCGGCGCAGTGGGGAACCACCCTGAAGGATGGGCACCACGTTGGCGAGATGTTAACTACATCGCCTGGTATACCGGAGGTCGTGAGTTCGATCCAAACCCTGACGCCTGTATATTTGTAGTTTGCATATTCTCTGCATGGTTGCGTAGATATTTATATGGGACCTCCTATTTTTCGCTCCACATTTAGAATCGACATGCGTCCAGATTAGTTGGCTGCTGTAAATTTACACATGATAAGCCTCTTTGTTGAGCTGTTATTTGTAACCAAGTCGTGTCTGACAAAGAGCAAATAGCTGAGTGGGCCTTTCCTGGTAAAATATAAGTATTATAGTTTTTATCTACTTTGGGTCTTTCGGTAAAGCCACGTAGATAGATCAAATATTGCCATACATAGAAGGGATCACCAAAAATATTTCCAAAATCATGAGGAAACAAGATCCAGGTACGATTCAACACAGTACATAAAATTCGTGATTTGATCCCATCTGTGAAGGATGTGATCCCTGTAAATGCAATACCCCGGTGTCTACAAACTAAGCTGTGTCTGCGGCAGCTGTTACATTGGGGAAACTAAGCGACATGTCTCGGACCGTGTTCGTGAACATAAGGCAGATCTGAAACACGCCAGGACTAATACCTCAGCCGTGGCTGATCATTATTTTAATTCTGTGGGCACACAAAGTTGATTTTGCCAAGATGAGGGTACTCTGCAAGCCCACTGGCTATCAGCAAAGATGCGTTCATGAAGCCAACCAGATATAAAAACAGACAGAATTTCAACCGAGAAGATGGGTACAAACTGAGCAATCATTGGAAGGACGTTATTAACCAGTGTAGGTCATAACTGGCTGTGATGTTCCTTCCCTACCAACCTATGTTAGCAGTTATTTTAGACTCTCTGAGTTACGTTTACTAACACAACCACCGTTAGCTGTATTAGTAAATGGGGGCCTGCCATCCTGTTCCACCTCCATGTGGTGATGGCTCCTTCCGAGCTCTCTCCGGGCTTACATTTACAAGCCAATTTCTTACATTGACATGCTAATCTTTCAAAATACGATGGCCACCCCCACAGCTTCGTTTATCAAGATTTACCCGATCTTACATTTACATGCAAATTTCATCTCGAGCCCCTCCCACTGACCCTTGGGCTACACCCATTCCAAACCTTTATAACTCCTTACCTTAGCAGCGCTCCCACCATATATTCTCAGCAGCTCTCCCGCGATATTTCTCACCTGATGACGATTGCTTGTGTTGCGATCGAAATGTCGTGATATTGTTATTATTATTTTTTATTATTATTTGATCTATCTACGTGGCTTTACCAAAAGACCCAAAGAATATTAATTCCTGCAGTCACGAAAGCTTTAAGTCATTATAGTTTTTAGTTTTATGTGGTTGTTTGTGCTGTAGCTGCAATGCATTATGGGTTGTACCACATGTTGTTCCCCATAATGACCATAACATTTTTCTCCATATTTCGGGAGCTTTTTAAGGAATTCAGCTCTGAACTGGGCTGGGAACTTTTTCTCAGGAATTTAGTTCCGAAATTAATTCCTGAAAGAAAAAAACAACCTCTCAGCACACGGAGCGAAACGTCGAACATGAACAGTGCGCGTTACAACCCAAAAACACATCAGGGATAGCCATGCAGTGGGAACCTCGCCATATCCCCCACATGCTCCCTATTCTCCAGATCTGTGTGTGCCGTACACGTGCCCTCCTGCCTAATATATTCCATGCATTCAAAGTTTTCCCGCTGCATTTAAACTCCTGCAAGGTTAAATGAGGGCCCGGCGTTGCCGCATACGCGCAAGGTGTTTTATTTGGGTCATTTGGTTCAGCTGAAATGCGCAAGGAAATTCAACCCCAACCCACCACCTGCAAGCCCTGGAAGACCGCCTAAAATAGTGCGGCGCTTTAAACGTTACTCTGTCCCATGCGTACGCCTTGGCCGATGCATTCACACATTAATATTTCCGGCGACCCAGGTTAATTTCTGTCCAATTAAAAATGTCCCATGGGCCTCCAATTGACTGATTTTCTTGGCGAAGGCTCGGAAAATCCCCTGTCCTGATTCGGGTTCACCGGCAGCCGTGTGTTCCTGACATCAGCTCTCCAATTACAACCCCCCCTTCAACAGTTCATAAGTGACTCCACAGTAACCGTTCAGAGCGTGTGTATGTATGTGTGTATGCGTGTGTGGGGAGTGGTGGTGCAGTGCACCACAAACTCGACGACATGAGTTTGATTTCCACTCGCAGCAAACATCAGTGACGGATATATGAAACTGTCTTAAGCCCCCTCGCTAGGTCAACTCAGCTGCAAATGAGTGCGTAAACATCACCACTGGGGAGAGTCAAACGGCCAGGCATTGTGCTCGCCACCCATGCCCTCATGTGGCATTTTGGCCTTTGCAAGTACTCGCTTAACAGCATTTGCCTGAGCAGCCTGTCTCGACTACATGGTCAGGGCTTTTCCTGGGTCGACTCGGTCCTAGATGCGTACTTGTGTGGTGCGTGTACAAATTGCTGGGGGGGGCGGGGGGGGGGAAGGTGACCACCGGGTTTGGTACTGGCCAAATCACCACCTCCTGCACCTTGCAGGCCTTAATAGGTGCTCGTAAATAGCACCTGCCCCATTATACTTCATATGGGGGTTCTTTGTTGCACGTTTGTTTTTGTATTGTGTTAATTCGCACGTGGGGAATTATTTATGCCTATGTTTATGAACATAACTAGGCCAGGGGGTTTGTTTAATTGCTGAAGGATAGCAATACATATTTATCTGCCTATGGTCTTTCCGAATTTATGTTTTTCAGGAGTGTTTGTGTCAAATAAGGTCACTGTGAATCTATTTTGACCTGCACCAGGTCTCCTCAGAACGTTGTGGCCTCATTAAACCATTGTTGAATCCTACCCTAATATTATCAATAAATCAACGGCATATGTCAATAGACCACTCGAAGGTATCGTTAAATATTAAACGCATGCATTCCTGAACATTGTTCACAATGTGCTATATTCAGTATGTTACAGGCAATCATTTCTAACAATGTGGGGCCCAGGCACTAAGTTTATTACACACAGGCTTGTCTTTCAGTCACCCCTGCTAGTTAACCCATAACGCTTGAAACACTTACCGAACCTCTTGCAAACATGTCTTCAGCACACCACATGGCTGTAAATTCCGCATAGCCTGGTACAAGCAACTCGGTGATGTATTCTCCACTTGCTGGTTAATGGCAGCAGTTGCTGCTGCTGCTGCTTTTGTGTGTGTGAATGTGTGTGGTTGCACCTGCCTTCATAGCTGCTTCTGCTAACAGCACTTACCCCAACAGTTAGTTAAGGCGAAACGGTTGGGGGGGGGGGGGTCGGAATATTTTTCTTTGTGGTTGCACCCAATGAGAAACTGTGGCTGTTGCACTACAGCAGGATTTTCAGTCAGAGGCCCTCAGGCCACATCTGACCCATGAAGGCCTTTGGAGTGGCCTGCCAAGCTATGGCCCACAAAGGGATATGGCTCACCAGGACTTGAAAAGAAACAGATGAGTGAGGTGAAATCAAGATAAACATGAGAGAGAGAGATGAGAGACCTCGACGCAAGAGATACAGAGTAGTAGTTACGTGAGATATTATGTCACGTCACCCACCGGCACGTGATAAGTTTATTCTGTGGCCCACTGGAACGCATATCTCAAGAACCCTGCACTATGCTGTGGACCTTTTACGTTTGACTGTCGACAATGGATAACATCGGTGGAAAGTCGTACCTGAACTTATCCTCAACCGCCGTTTGGTCGACTCAATCTGAAATGAGTGCCGGGTACGGGTGCGTAAGTATCAGAAGTGGGGAGACGCACAGGTGGCTGGGTGTGGTGCCGACCACACCCACCTCATGCAACTCTACCAGCGCCCATCGTGGCCTGCTAACAGCACTTCTCCCAATTTTTGTGCATGTGGTTGCGTGCAGAATGTGGTCTTGTCCGGAGGCTCCACCATGTTCCGTGACTTTGGACGGCGACTGCAGCGTGACCTCAAGCGCACGGTCGACAGCCGGCTCCGGATCAGCGAGGAACTCAGTGGCGGTCGCATCAAGGTACCGCCACTCACACAAACACAGCAACAACAACAACAGCCGCTTGTGCCAGGATTGGTGTACCTTGAGGCCATGTGAATGTCGGAAGTTACTCTGGCAAAGTCACGTTTTGACTGCCCGGAAAATCAATTCATTGCTCTGAGCATCCCTCTTTAGCGATGCTCTTGAAGGATGATACTGCCCAGTAGCATCCACCATGGAGGTCGATCTTAATGCTTGTACCAGTCATCCGCAAGTCATATCACTTCGACACACACATGCTCACACAGGCAAGTACAAACACACACACCTGCTGAGGTAGCTGGATGGTTCAAGTGGCTAATAGCTGTAAGAGCATTGAGCGAGCACCACTGAGAATCCTGGGTTTGAATTTAGGTTTCAGCCACCCGTGATTAAAATGGATTCCTTATTATTTTTGGACGTTTTCACCAATTCTATTCCAATTGTGTTATCGGCGTCTTGTCACTGAGTGAAGTGTCCGTTTAGAATTCTTAAGAGTATCACATTACCTTGTGGTGGAGAATGGCCCATGGAAGAATATATTTCAGAGCTACTTCTGAGATGCCAATAGATACAATACAACATATTGTAACTGGTAGTGGCCTAACATCCCAATGCTGAAAATTTTATCGCAAATTACTCAGGTGGGGTTACCCATAACAACGTCACCTACAGCTGCAAAACAATTGCCAGGACCGTCCTGAAAAAGAGTTGCAAGTTTGGCTTTCCTGGGCGAACAAGTGTAATAACAATCCACATTAGTTGTGTTGCCATTTTGCACACACTCCGCTATGTAGTTTTGTACATTGCATGGCATTCAAACCAAAATCTTAGTTTTCAACTTTCAGAGATTAAACATTTGCCAAATTTTGCGACGCACCAAATTGAACGTGGAATGTGTTACCTAGTTATTGGTAATTGGGATGAGTCGGTCAGCTCACTTGATATCTTTGTTCCATCATGGATGGCAATCTGGATTCGAACCCAGGTTCTCAGTATTGCTGTCAGTATTCTCTGACCCCAGGGTCATCATCTGGCCTTTTTTTAGCAATTTGGTAGTCTCAGCCAGTTCACTGCACAGAAACAACCCATGATAATAAGGTAGTTTTTTTGCATTATTCAGCATGTTCCAGCTGAGAGGATTAAAACAGATTTGGTTGGATTTTCATGCGATGAACATTCTGTGCAGCACATGAAACAGGTGTGTCCCTAGTGTGCGTAAAGAGTCCGATTGATATTACTTTCAAAGTAGTTCTGTGATTTCATTCTTCCATTGTTGCTCTGTGAATCAGCGTGGGGCATTTCTCAATTTAAAGTTCTGCGTTTCCTTATATGCCACCAATAATGCATTTGCAATATCATTTAGGGGGGGGGGGGGCAGACAAACCACAGTAATAATGTTTTGTTTTATATTGGATCTTATATTTTTAGATTGAATTTCAATTGCTGAGAAACCACAGACAAGGCAGCCAGGGGGTGAGCCAGCGCTACCATCAATTGCCAAAGCGCTGTAGTCCTCTATATATTCAGATGTTTTCATCCAATTAATGATTGTTAATACATGTGGGAGACCCCGGAGTTCCAAGAGAGATTTCACGCGTGTGAAGGGGCAGTACTCCATCTCATACAAAAGGGACAGATTATATAGGTTGCACTCCCCACTCCCCTATACTGCCTTCTGGAAGCCAGGGTATGGCACCTTCTCAACGTCCACAGGAAGAGAGTTTCAGAGCATTTGTGCAATCCACCAACCATCGACTGCATAGTGCTTGATTACAGGCGTGCATGCATAGTCTCCACCGCCCCGGTCACTTGAGGGGCATTCTTGAAAAACTTGATAAACCCACATTTAAAATTTTAAGATAGCCTACTGCTTTCATTGGAACACTTTACAGTACTACTTTTAATCATTTTTTATTTTATTGTCTCCCCATAGACCACACATGAAACATAATAATTCACTCCATCCACTTATTGTTCCCATTCTCAACATATCCACACGTTTTGAACATTGAGCCTTTTGTGGGTTATAAAAATTTTTTTAAGATACCCTTCATTTATTCATTAAGGAAAGCCCCTCCGATACTTTAGCACCGTCTTCCATTTCGACGTGTGGCCATTTGCTTTACAACAAGTATCTTGTATGTGCAAGATTATTGGAGTATCTATGGAAAGTGCAGGCGTATGATTTGATAACACTCCACGGTTCGTACACATGCATTAACTAATGCATTTAGTTAACTATCATTTGGCCACATGGTGGCCCAGCTGATTTGGGAGTTTTACAAGTCTGCACGATCCACCAAACCCTTGCCTATAAAAGCCCTGGATGTCACAGGCTTACGCTGCTGTGCCCAGTGTTTATCTATTATCCACCACAGCTTGGGCAAAATTAAATACAAAGGCAGAGGACTGGCACACCAGCAATTAATTTTGTAAATGACTGGGTATTATTTCACTATCGGATTATAGCATTACAAAGAAAGGAATAATTCGCCTCATTTAAACACATGTAAAGTAATACATTCAGTCCGCTATTAGCATTCTGCGGTTATACACGAAGCAGGAAATCGGCACTGGCTACTAACGTGAGCAGTTAGCATTTCCTTGTAATGGAAAGAGTGGTTATTTTTGTGAAGCTTTCCTTGGCACAGCGTTTTTCAGTTTATTTCAGTTTCAGTTTATTTATTTTGGTATAGCCCTGTGAGCCATTCGGCTCTTGAATCGGGTGCAACCACAACAAACAAAAAAACAAAAATACGAACAAGAAAACATCTTAAAGTGACTGTGACTGTGCAGTATTGGGTGTGCATTTGCACGGGAGGGCAGTCCACCCTAATGCAAATGGATACCTGGTGCGGCGTGTAAACATCGTCACTTGGGAAACAAAATGCGGCCGGGCGTGCTGCTGGCCACCCACCCCCTTGTGTGCCGTGGTGGCCTTCATAGGTGCTCGCTAACAGCACTTGCCCCAACAGTCTGTTCAGGCTATACGGGAGATCTTTGTGTGTGTGTGTATATATGAAATTGCTCTGCTTTTGTTCCCCAAGTGAACGAATGTGTGATAAATCTCAATGTTTCCAAGCTTACTGCAAAAAATTGACGCATTGTTTGCTCAATTTTTATTATAATGTAATATTGACTTTTCAATGAAGCCAATATATTGAGCTAATAGCCACATGATTGTTTTCCAGGTTGTTGCCACTCTTTCCCAGCTCCGTCATCATGATTTTTTGCTCTCAGCATTATAACGCACTATAATTACATTTCATTAGCGTTGCTGCGTTCATGACGAACAATACAGGTTTTGTTCTTCTCAGGCACCAAAATAATAAATATAATCGACCTTACAGATATCAATTTCAAATTTCTCAGACAAACTGAAATTTTAATCTTAAAATTGTAAGTCAGTGTGAAGTTATTGGGCTTTTATCGATTTTTTATGTCTTTCAGAACATCTAAATCAAAAGGGTTTTTGGATCAGCACTGTGCAAAATAACTCACCCACCTATTATCAGGCTTCATTGAAAGTACCATCTAATCGCACATTGTGATGGGTGTATGTATGCTGATTTTTCGCACCGTACGTAGCTAACCTTGCTAATCGGAGGTGCGGGGGAAGTATAACAAACTAAAGACAAAAAGACGTTCTAAAGAGATGAGTTTTCAACCTCTATTTAAAAGTACATAGCTCCAGTGGCTTTCTAATATTGCAAGGAAGAGCCGCAGAAGCGCATCTAAAAGCACGTGATGCAGTGACCGTCTTTGGTGGTAAACTATTTAGTGGTATACTGATGCATCGATTCATCGATTAAAATCGGTTATGGTTGAAGTAAATGGATCGAATTGTGCTGCTGAGAATCCGTTATTTTTCTCGACGGATATGTTGCATGCAATGAGTTCCCGTGACCCCCTTCCCCGGCATACACGAGAGTCGCAACATTGCACTGCAATTAAAAAACAAATCTTGAATCGTATCGCAACTCTGAATGGTGACATTTTGAGGGGGGTGGGGGGGGGTCAATAGTTATACACTAAGATGTAAAACTACAAGTTTGTGCATTTTTTAAATTCTATTTCCATGTATATTTGAACTGCCACCCCGTGGTGTGTCTGCGTGTATGCGCATGCATGTGCATTCATATGCAGTACACAGCACGGTAAGCAGAGTGATGTCCTTGTTTGCAATATTAAATTACACTTAAGATGTCCATTTAAAATAAATTAATTCTGAGCGGCTCCTGTAAAGACCACTGCAGTAAGTGAGGAGTCTGTCACCGAGAGACATTGATTTCATTTCATAATAAATAAATATACCCTCAAACGGAAGAACAAAGAAGAGGGGGTGGTTAAAAATAGAAACGGAGCAAGCTAATTAAAAAGCCATTTTGGGGGTTAGCCGCGGCTCGTAATGCCGGCCCTTGGGTGGCACTGGGCGGCGTTTTTGGCGTAAACCTTAGCTGTGCGTGCCGTGGTTTGTCTATGTATAAAATATTAATGCATTTCTCCCGCAGCCAAAACCGATCGATGTGCAAGTAGTTACCCATCACATGCAGCGCTACGCCGTGTGGTTCGGAGGTTCGATGCTGGCTTCCACCGTAAGTGCCTTGCCAATCCGCACGCGCTGTTGATATTGTTGCATACACAGCACCCTGGGGCAAAATATCAGTTCATTTTCACCCTTTAACTGATATTTTTTTGTGATTTTTCTATTTTTATTGTCGGAATATGGGGTCATGGTGGCGCCGTCGTTAGCGCATTGCGGTATGAACCCTGCTTACCTGAGTTTCATTCTTGGCCACGGTTAATGTCAATGGAGAGAGTGGTCTGTCCTGGATGCCCCTTCACCAAACTGCACTGAGCGGCCTGGTGGGATGTGGCCAAACAACCCCCGATGAAGCACACTGTTTGTGGAGGCCTTCATCCAGCAGTAGATTGACAAAGCGCTGTAAATGATTGTGTAATTCTTGGAATGTTTGCCCTCGTCTGTTTTGCCCATTGGTTTTGTTTGTCTCTCGGTGCTGAGTATGTACAGAGCAGATTCAACTCTTTGCTCTTTCATGATGATTTGTATTCATGCAAAGTCTGTTCGAATAGCAACTTAAAAAAAGCAATGAGCTATGCTTTCTGTAAGATCCTTGTCAGGTTTGTTTTAAGGTTCTGTGTAATATTAATTAATTTATGGCGAGCCTGCAGGACGTATCGGTTACAGTCCCTTCCCATCTGCTGAGCTCTATTAGCAACCCATTCATTACAGCAGCCTGCGAATAATGCGGTGAAAAATGTATTTCACATAAAGCAACATCTGCCCATTGATTCGTCTTTCTCACTGCCCTTTGTGTTGCGGTATTCCTGACTCGTTTCCCTCTTTGGTTCTCTGTCCTCTGCTGTCCTGCCCAACCACGCATCCCACGTCGTGGTAGCGCAATGCTATCTCCCTCGCCTGGTATGCAGGAGGGCATGGGTTCCACCCTGACCCCGACGCCTGTATATTTAGAGTTTGCATGTCCTTGCGTGGATTTTTCCTCCCGTGTCCTCCGGTTTTTCCCTCCACATTCGTTTTAAATTATTTGGCTTCTCTAAATTTCCACGAGGTAAGCCACTTCATTGAGCTATAATTTGTGGCCAAGTTGCGTTTGAAAAAGAGCAATATAGCTCAGTGGGCTTTACCTGGTAAAATAAAAAATAGCTTTGTTTAGTAACCTCCCGAATACTTTTCTGTCTCCCCCCCACCCTGCTGTCTCTGCATCTCCCCTCCTCCAGCCCGAGTTTTACCAGGTCTGCCACACCAAGAAGGACTACGAGGAGTACGGGCCCAGCATCTGTCGCCACAACCCGGTTTTTGGCGTCATGTCCTAACGGGTGGCATCAGAGCTCCACTCATGCACTCACGCTCGCACGCACGCTTGCTCGCTCGCGCATACTCGCACATCTGGGGCTCTGCAAGCTGCCTTGCAAGTGCACACGGGGACAGGAATGCATCTTTGGCGGACGCTCCATGAAAAATAAAAACAGCAATGCACTGTCCAGTTCATATATATATACAGTATATATATCTTTTGTTGCCGTCTGCGAACCATGTCATTGCATTTGGTTATGTTTGATCCGAGTCCTATTTTTTTTTACTTGTTAGGATCAGGTTCGATTTTAATCACATCACGCAATAAAAACGTGTTTGAAATAAACATAATACTGTCCCATTATTTTTTTTGCATATGCTTACGTTTATACAAAAATAATTATTCGTATTTTCTAAATGTGTTTTTTTGATTCATTAAAAAAGGTTGACGCAAAATGAGTTTTATTTCTCCCCATTTTCCTCTCATCGCAAGTTCTTTGCCGGCTCTGCTAGCCGTTTGAGCTGTGCTCGATCGACTCGTGAGTTTGAGCTCACGCTAACCCAGGGTTTCGATGATGTGCGCTCACGGTTACGGCGCTGGGCCGGCAGATGCTACGTGCAAATGGGAATGCCGAGAATGTGTTTTTGGCAGTCCGCATGAACTGTGCCCATTGTGGCCCAGTATTCAAGAATAATGATGATGAATTGGTGGCTGGAATGTACAGAAACCACAATAGCCTACATCAAATTATGGTGCTGCAAGCCTTTGCCACAGAGTCTGGGATTGAAAACCTATCGCAAGCGTTTGAAATAAAAATATCCCAAAAAGTTTGAATATTGGATTTCGTACAAATTGTTATGCCCGCTGCACACATTTGTCGTATTCTGAAAATTCTGAATTTGCAAAATAATTAAAAATATATATAATACCGAGGCCCTCTCTTGCCATTGGTTTTCAGTGCCCGAGTGTATCATTGTTTAACGTCTATACATTGTGAAATCATTTCCCCTTCCATTCTGCCTGACAGTGACGTGGAATGTGCACATTTTTTGTGGCAAACTTTGAAACCTCGCCATCCGTTATTTTCGTGTGTATAAAAAAAATGTATGCAATATGTGTCTTGGGTGTGGCGGTCTTGGAATGACAGTAAACTTTTTGAGTGTCGTGTTGCGTTAACATTTTAAAGATGAACATGAACTTGATGCTACGGATTTCATTTGTCTTCTCTCTGCCGTCACAAGCGCTTAACGAACCGGCTAACCGTGCCGCGCCACCAGCACCGCCACCGAGCTGTACGTCTTGGTGGGCTGCAGGTTGACAGGTTGGTTTTATAGTGGATTGAGCGTGGATAGTCATTGAGTTATGATGAGTGATAATACAATACACATCATCGCAGATTTGACGAGAGCAACCTTTGGAAATGAAGGGGAAAAAATCTATTGAATGCTGGGGTTTTTTCGGGCATGAATTAAATTATCTTCTGCAAACAGAATCCAGATTATCTTATGAATTTGCAAAAAAAAAAGCTCTAGGGCGCCTGAAATTGTACACGTTTTTTTGGCAAAAAATGAATAAATAAATGTGTTTTAATCAGTGTTCATTGAGCCATATCAGTCTAATATTGCTGGAGGAATGGATGGGTGTGCAATGCCATTTCCTCGGCTCGTGTTGGGGCTGAGGGAGTAGTGGCGATGTGGTCTCGCAGACAAATGGCTTTAGAAGGGCTGTTGTAAAAAAAAAAGTTTTCACCGTATTATACAAGAGGCAAACACGCTGACCTAGTTCCCAACCACTCGCGAGCCCTACGGGGCTACGGAGAGATAGCTGGGCATTAACATGTCTGCTGCGTTCGATAATGAGAAAAATGCAGCGCGGGTAAGTGGCGGTTCCGTGTTGCCAGCCAAGCCCTCGCGTTCTCATCAGCAATTGGCAGCGCGCCCTTCACCGATGCAGTTCGGTCTCCGCTGTCCGCTGAACTTGACCGCTGCAACTTGGCTCGAGTGTAAACTTCACGCTCTGGCGCGCAACGACGCATCGATTCGTAGACTTGGACCGATCGATCGCTTCGCGACGTGCGCGTCGAATCGTACGTGTCGGCATGGATTATTGCCATTTCGTATGTGTTGTATGTAATTGATTTGTGTGACTCCTGCAGCCATGTAGAGCTGCTCTCACTTTATATACGTACAAACAATTGACACTTGAATCGAATCGTGACCCCCGGATCGTGACAATGTGTTGAAGCTGAGAGGCGAATCGTTACATGCCTCCCCTACATATATACGAGCTGCAACTTATGAGCATTTAGTCAACATTCGGTTATGTCAACATTGACAATTATGTATCCAGGAAAAGCCCCCGTTTCAGGAGTGCCCTGCATTGATTGCCGTGTTTGGTCAATTCCATTCCTGTTTGGCATACCATGTTGCAATGGTGATGAACTTCGTTGTACTCAGCAGAGGGTGTTTTCTCGCCGTTTTGTAGGGTTGAAGTCATTTAGTGGAGTTGATCCAAACCCAATGAGCCAAACTCAGGCACCCTAAATGAGGCAAGGATCAGAACATCACATGGTTAACCACGTGCTGGCACTATTTAGATGTCACTTGCACTTATTATTTCAAACTATAGAATGCCGATTTTACTGTTTATGGCAAGGTTAACAAACCGACAATTTGTTGCAGTTTTTTATGTATGTATGTGTCCTGCAGTTTAAAGCAATTTCAATGCTATTACCATGCGAAACATGGTAATACGAAAACTAAATCTATGAATCAAACCCCTTACATGTTAATACGGTATTAAAACTGGAGCTTACTGTCAGTGGCGGTAAAATACTTGCTGACATTTTTCAAACCTCATTAATACTTTACAGCTGAATTATTAAATAATAGAGTTTCTTAACAAATGCCGTTTCCCGCAAAAAAACCTCATTAAGTGTGCAGATGTTTTTTTTATATCAAGAAACATTGCCTGCTCGTGATGTTTAGCATTTGTTTTATGTACGGATATCAAGCCAATGCATAAGTTCCCCGAGAAATCCCACCGCACACATGTGTTCAAATTAAGATTGTTTCAGTCATAAGGCAAGAGTTAGCGACTTGCACAGCGGCAAAGTAATGTTGTCTTTCGATTTAAAGCTTTCGTGACTGCAAGGATTCATCTTCTTTGGTTCTTTCGGTAAAGTCACGTAGAATGAGAATAAAATAATAAATTGATAAAATAAAATAACACAATAATATTCTCACGACGTTTCGGCCACAACACAAGCGGCCGAAACGTCGTGAGAATATTATTGTGTTATTTATTGTGTTATTTTATTTTATCAATTTATTATTTTATTCTCATTCTACGTGACTTTACCGAAAGAACCAAAGAAGATAATGTTGTCTTTTTCATCCGATAATGGCCGTGGCTGTTCATGACTTCACTAGGAGGCAGCTGTGGTCAGCCACCTCATGCCGGGTTGCCGGAGACTATACGACGGGCAGAGCCACCTTCTTCCTTTCTCAATAAAGCAATTGGGATTCCGCCGACTTCTGACGGCCCCCGTTTCTCCGACTGACTCCGCAGATGGCTCGTGTTGCTGTTTGCCCCGCAGCAGAAACAGCAGAAACAGCAGCAGGATAACAACATTTCATTTTTTTTTATCGCGACTGCTACTGCCCAATGGCAATAAAAACATATAACTGTGCGATGATTGCATTTGCTGCATGTAAATATTTATATTACAATCACTGGTGTTTATTTTTTTGCATAAATACATCTTGGTGGAGGGGGCCGGTGGTGGGGGGGGGGAGAGTTTCTTTAAAAGGCTGCTTTGGTGGATACGAAGCTAATTGTATTTCCCCCCCCCCCCACCCAATGCTTTATGGGGGAAATGCGAACAACACAACAAGTGTAATCTTGCAACAACAACAAATTAAAGGCTTAATGTGTTAAAAAAAATATTGCAGAATGTAACATTCATTGAGCTTGTGAATTAGTCTAGAATTTGATTGAAACTTTAAAATATTACTGTTACACGTGCTGCCATTTTGGGAGGGGGATGGATTGCTAAACTAATGTGCTTTTTTTTTACTATTTCACTGTGATGCGATATGTGTGATTAATCATTACAGTGTATATATGTCTTCTGTGTCCTGCGTCTCTATACATATGTATAACAATTCTAATAAACATCTTTCCAGGTTTGCATCATTGTTGGTGTCATCTCACAATAAAAAAAACAATGTACAGCCCTTTGTCAATGAAGTTCGCCCCGACGCTGTGTCAGCCATTGAAGCTATTTGACCATACTTCACGCTGGTGAAGTGGGGGAGACCACGGGGCTGGTTCAGATATCGACTCGCCACCGATGGGGGTGATGGCCTGGAATAAAAACTCGAGTCGCCGGTTCCACAGTAGAGAGTGTGCCAACCACATGGCCACCACTCCACCCGATGTCTATATACATGATGGCCCGAACGTCTGGACACGCAGGGTTATTGTATTTATTTTAACAAATCTTCAAACTGACTTCCATTAACGTTAATGCACACATGAATTCTATTTTGAACTGAATTTAGTACTTTTTAAAGTTTACAATGGTGCAATATTTGAACATTCACCGGTGATGCTTCGTCTCAATTCAGTCGGGGTTCTTGCTCAAGTTTTGTAAACAACGGATTTGAGGTGACACCACATGAAGAACAATAAACAACCGATAGATAAAATGTTCACTTAAAAAAAATAAGCAATTACAATGGTTTAATGCCAGTGTTAAAACAAACAACGTAGCCATACGTGTGCTGCCTTGTCCATCCTGTATCACAACCAGAATTGCCACTCGATAATGCATCCAACTCCAGCTGGGAAGCTGTATCAACATTCACTTCGGGTTAACCACACGTTGATATGGTTGGTTGTAATTCCTACGAAGGCTAATCGAATAGTCTGTGGTCTAACCTAGAAGTTGTGGTTTTGCAACGAAGGGTGAATTTTAATTCGAAAGTACATTTTATGAAGAACCACCACATAGCATAGCAAAGGATTAAGTCGCATTTTTGTCAAATGTTCCAATTAATATTGTTTGTGTTAAGTTATAATCTGAGTATGAAGCGTTTAGATAAACCTGATGAAAGCCCCCTGCAGTGGTCTATGATAAATATAGCAAAAAAAAATCTGAAACAAGGAAAATATGACAGGAAAAAAATCAGAGACAGTGTTGGAAAAAAAATCTGGAGAAACCCCAGTCACCTGTCATAGCCCCCCAAAGCCCTTTTCACGCAGCTCCACACAGTTCACCGAGTACTTGCGCAGAAGCGATTTTTCGAGTGACAATGAAGAAATGTGAGCTGCGGTGAGGAGCGAGACAAAGAGTTATTCCGCGCAAGGATCACATCTTGTGTTGTGGCCGAAACGTCGTGAGAATATTATTGTGTTATTTTATTTTATCAATTTATTATTTTATTCTCATTCTACGTGACTTTACCGAAAGAACCAAAGAAGAAGGATCACATCCTTTGGAAATTGATGATGATGATGATGACAATGACGATGATAATTGACAAAGGGCATTGTACTTCAAGGGGAACATGAAGAGAACTCAGACGGCTTCATAAAGGCTGCGCGTTGCTATCTGTACGGGAGGTCTAATTGTAGGGTAAATCAACGCTGTGATTATATCAACATTAACTAAGCTATCGTTTGCCGGTGCTAATTTTGTTTGTACAGATCATTGGCTGCACGCTGATCTACGGGTGTGAAGATGTTGGATTCCTCGTGAAGATGACGCTCGTCGCTCTAAATTTTGATTTAAAGCTGTCCAGACAGAGCGACGAGTATTCTTGGTTCTTTCGGTAAAGTCACGTAGAAGGAAAACAATAAAATAATAAAAATATAAAACAATCAAATTCTCACGACGTTTCGACTGCAACACAAGCAATCATCATCAGCTGTGAAAACCACAGCAAGAACATTTTTCAAAATGTTTCTTGCTATGGTTTTCAAAAAAATTATTGCTGTGGTTTTCATACCTGATGATGATTGATTGTGTTGCAGTCGAAACGTCGTGAGAATTTTAGTGTTTTATATTTTTATTATTTTATTATTTCCCTTCTACGTGACTTTACCGAAAGAACCAAGAATACTCGTCGCTTTGTCACGGTTACCACTCTCATCGGCTCGAATGTAAAATAGGGGAATTATGCATTGCACGGACCTATTGATTTGAGTTCCCTCCTAACACAACACTCGGTATGCACCGCCATGGGAGAATATGGGCAATACATTGATCAGCAATACAGACAGGCGTTTGCCTGATTAAAGAAGCTATGCTGTATTACATGTGTCCGAAACGCCCATCGACTGATGGACCTGTACGATGACATGTATAATTACATGTATGATGACATGTAGCATGCACCTACCGGATGTTCAAATCACGCGGGATGCAACCAATTTTGTCAAATCTCGGAAGCTAAGCGGCCTTGAGGCGCGCTCGTGCTTGGATGGGCGAACACCTTGCATAACAGGTGCTACAGGCTGCTGCGGGCACGACGTCGCGGGCGAGGCAGAGGGCAGTGCAGCAACATGCACTGTTGCTGCACTGCACTTCTAC